AAATTCAGTGTTAGAAGACTTAGTCGCTTAGTCATGTCCAACTCTTTGCAACCTTATGGACTATAGTCCTTCCTCCAGGCTCCTCTGTCCATGGGATTTCCCAGGCAAGAATACTGGGGTGGGTAGCCATTTCCTTCTCCAGGGGATCTGCCTGACCCAGGGATTGAACCCAGGGTCTCCTGTATTGCAGTCAGATTCTTTGGAAAAGGACTTGGGAGCTCACAGAGGCCCCAAGCCATGGGGAGACATAGCTGAGACCCCATGAGTGAAGGATAGACAGACAGTGCCCTGGGGGTTTCAGTCCACTGGTCCACTACTGTATCTTCTGTGGCCAGTCACAGCATGGGACACATGTAGTCTCATGGTTGTTCTTGTAAATAAAGTTTTATTGCAACACAGCCATACACACTTGTTGACACATCCTCTCTGGCTGCTTCTACTCTCCAGCTGCAGAGCTGAGTAGCTGCCAGAGACAGTATGGCCTGCAAACCCTAAAATAGTCCCTTTCTGACCTTGACAGAAAAGGAGATGAGCCCTGTGGTGCTAGACAGCATAGGCTGCTGGTCCTGGCTGCACTTGAGAATCATTTCAGAGAAAAGTGCAGGATGCTGGCCCACACCAAGGACCTTATCAGCCCATCTTTCAGGATGGGATCCAGAAACTGGCATTTTTTTAATGGAGATTTTTTCTTTATTGAGAAACTTAAGACTTGGGTACATCAAATGAATCCAATTTCTGGGGGGAAAAGTCAAAACCCACAATAGAAAAAAAATGTTAACACAGTCTTGGCCGTATCTGAACCCAGAGAATATATTTTTTTGATTGAAAAATTCTAGGTGCTTCATGGGCTTCCCTGGTGGCTCAGATGGTAAAGAATCTTCCTGCAATGTGGGAGACTTGGGTTCGATCCCTAGGTTGGGAAGATCCCCTGGAGGAGTGAATGGCTACCCACTCCAGTATTCTTGGCTGGAGAATTCCATGAACAGAGGAGCCTTGTGGGCTACAGTTCATGGGGTTGCAAAGAGTCAGACACAAATGAGTGACTTAGCACACGGCAGGTGTTTCATAATTCACCTTTTGATACAAAATGACCTATTAAATTTGCAATTTGTGGTTCTTGGCGTTGAGGCCCATAGGATAAGCTGGGAAGTCTTCAGACATGGAGCTAAAAAAGGGCTTCCCTGGTGGCTGAGTCAGTAAAGAGTCTGTCCGCTACATGGAAGACCTGTGTTTGATCCTTGGGTCAGGAAGATCTCCTGGAGAAGGGAATGGCAGCCCACTCCAGTATTCTTGCCTGGAGAATCCCATGGACAGAGGAGCCTGGTGGGCTACAGTCCATGGGGTCACAAAGAGTCGGACATGTCTGAGTGGCTAACTTTCGCTTTTATTTGCCTTTTGAATCAATCAGTTACTCTTGGCTGGAGAATTCCATGGACAGAGGAGCTTGGTGGGCTACAGTCTATGGAGTTGCAAAGAGTCAGACACGAGTGAGTGGCTATCACACACACACACACATCCTTGTCTAAGAGGTAGCAGTGTGCATGCGTGCTAAGTTGCTTCAGTCATGTCTGACTCTTTGAAACCCTATGGATGGTAGCCTGCCAGGTTCCTCTGTCCATGGGATTCTCCAGACAAGAATACTGGAGTGGGTTGCCATTCCCTCCTCCAGGGGATCTTCCTCACCCAGGGATCAAACCCACATCTGTTATGTCTTTTAAATTGGCAGGTGGGTTCTTTACCACTAGCGCCACCTGCGAAGCAGCAGCAATAGGACAAGACTTTCATATTCAGCCAGATTAAAGTCAGTGTGTTACATCATGGTGCCTCTAAAGCAAATGACCTTGAGAAGATGTTTCAGGCTCTACATGCATGTTTCTATGGGCTATGAGACTGAAGAAAGCCCCCTAGAGTGGCACTTCACACACATCTGCTTGTAGCAGAATCCCCTGGAGGGCTGGATCCCAGCCCCGCAGGTTCTGTCTGGTGGGTGGGTCTGGGGTAGGTAGGGCTGGCACATGTAACAAGTATACAGGTGCCCCTTATGCCTTGGACCCATGACCAAGCCTCCGGAGTGCTGACTCAGGTCCAAAAGGCTTGGGTTGCTTATGAAAGTCAAGTCCTGTTATCCAGGGGAAGGGTTTGGGGATAGATTTAATAACCAACTGCTGGTGTGGTTCCAGACCATGCTGTCAAGACCCTCACCCATCCACACACATCCTCCTTGCCCTCCTCTTCTCCACCCGCTCTGGAAGTCTAGAAACCAAGCCATTGTTCTGATCTCTGCTCCTGTACAGGTTTTCTCTTACTATGTCTTTAAATTCCCAGGGGGAGGGGAGGGTGAGATACTATTTTGCATCTTGTCAATTACCTGTATTTTGATTAGGGAGAGGCTGGATGGTGGACACTGGAACCTTTCAGCATAAAAGAAAATGGATTATATGTTTCAAGGTGGTAGAAGGATTAGTAGAAGTTGAATAAATATGTGTAGAAACAGTGAAGGTGAAAACACGCCTTGATAACAAGGCAACAGACACAGGCAGAGACAGAGGGCGTGGGAACCACAAAAATGATTTTATTTTAAACCAGAAAGCAATAGCAATGGAGAGCTCGGGCTGAGGGTGTGATAGCATGACTCAAGTACCAGGAACTGAACTTGTTCGAGTGAAAAGAGCAGCATACAGAGACTTTCATTTCCTAACCAAGCAAATCACATCTGCATCTTTGTGACACTTGTCAGTGGATTCCCATTTACAAAGGTTTGCATTGCCTTTCAGATTTTCTGAACAGTTTTGTAAATATTTTTTTAAAGGTGAAGGTTTTGGTGCCCGCTTTCTTTTTTGATATACCAGGCATTGAATCAATCACGAGTGAAAAAAAATTGGTGAGAGTTTTGCTTAAAAAATAGTAAGAGTTTCTTATTTGTGGCCCTATTGATATTTTGGGCCAGATAATCCTTCATCATGGGGCTGTGCTGTACACCATAGGATGTTGAGCAGCATTTCTGGTCTCTACCCACTAGATGCCGGGGGCACCTTTCCCAAGTTGCACTAACCCAAAATGACTCCAGACACTGCCAGATCACCCCCATGTTCAGAAGCACTATTTTAAAAACATTCTTCCATCCCCATTACCATCTTTGTATCTTTTTTTTAAAGACATTTTATAAGAGTAGAGCAGATCATCTGGTTCCCAACACCAAAAGCACATGTACATGAGCATACATGTGTGTGTTTCCACAGGCACTGCCCGTGTGCCTGGAGCCGAAATGGAATTCCACGTTCACTGGGAGGCACTGGTTTGGTTCCTCAGAAAGTCTCGAGATCTCAGTACCATAATAAAATGCCTGTTGGTCCTCAGGCCTTTGCCTCTTCTCCAGCAGAAACTCTCATCAACATGTGCAGTTTTTGAAGTCACTTTCTTTTAAAGCCAGAAAGAAAATCTTCACCCAAGCCCACTCTCCATCTTAATCCATCTAGATTCCTACTTGAATTATATGGCCAGCCACTTGTGACAGTGGATTCAGGGTTCTTCATTTCTATCCATCAGAAGGAGAGAGGTACCATGTTTCAGAGTTCAGTTTTGAGGACTGGCTACATAATTTGCGAGGCCCAGTGCTAAATGAAAGTGTAGAACCCCTCGTCCAGGCATTACTGAGCATTTCAAGATGGTGCCAGCAGTGTTCACACAGCCACGACGTTGGACCTGGCAGCCTTGGTTGGCGTTGCATCAATTTTGTGTATTAATTTAACTGGCACTGCCAGCTCTTTTCCCCCTGTATTGTGATGTCTTCTGTGAAGTAAGAACCTCAAAAACAAAATGCCGTGCCCCCAATCCTTTTAAAGAATTCTACCGCAACAAATGTTGATAGCATATATTTTTCAGACTTTCAAAAAAAATCCACATGGAAATTTTGTCTACATCATTACAGTAATGAAATTAAACACTGTGGCCTTTCATCATATACATATTTTCCAGTAAATATGACAACATGGAAATAGTAATTGCTACTATCCACAATGTTTTTAAGTTAGCAAAGAGTGAGACTTCCACAACAAAATGATAACATAATCCTTCGTCCTTATAAAAATAGCCAAAACATAACCTAAATGGCTTGCAGTGAAAACTGGAGTAGTAACTTCTTTATACTGAAAAAGCATTATAATTCGTGGCAATATTGTCCTCATAAACACTTTAGATTAACATCATAAGGCAAACTGGAGCATTCATTGTACCTGGAGACCATGATTTAAAAAATCTCAGAAGCTGAGTTTTAGACCCTTTTATTTAAAACCTGTTAGTGTACAAAGTGCATGAAAATATCCATTATTCAGCTACCAAAAATGTTTGTAAAAATTACTAAGCCAACCCTTTTGGTTTATTCAGGGAAGCCTAATGCACACTGTTTTTCTATTGTAAAAAGAAAAAAATTCCATTAAGTTGGCAGAGACTGAGTAATTTTTTTTCCATTGAGGCATCCATCTTTTAGATGTGAAATTATCCTAAGTCACTATCAAAATATTCATCTGGGTATAAATGGTATAGTAAATATATAGAATCTATCTGTTAAGAAAAAGGAGTGCATCTGCCAGTGTAGAGGCAGAAGCCCTGGGGAAGCTGCCCCTGAAACCCAGACTCACAATCACGTAATGCAATGCTGAAACAGTGGACGAATTTCAAAGAAACAATTGGTTGATCTGTTCAAAAACAAAACCAATAAAAACAGTGGCTAAATCCCCCAGTCTGTCAAAATGGCCACCCCAGCAGCCCAGATAAATATTTTAGCAAATGAAATGGTTGAGAGATGTCATGCCCTTCATCAAGGTAGAACCATTGCCAGATTCCTTGTTCAAGTCGAAGGATGGCTTAGTGTGAAAGTGTCAGTCGCTCAGTCATGTCCGACTCTTTGTGACCCCATGGACTGTAGCCCGCCAGGCTCCTCTGTCCAAGGGATTCTCTAGGTGAGAATACTGGAATGGGTTGCCATTCCCTTCTCCAGGGAATCTTCCCGACCCAGGGAGCAAACCTGGTCTCCTGCATTGCAGGTTGAGTCTTTACCACTGAGCCATCAGGGAAGGCAAAAAAGCCTTACGTCATGGACCACTCCAATGCCTTAGGTCAGCACACCGAGCATTGTATCTGACATGGCATTAGCAGGTTCTACTAGCAGGTTCCAAAGTGAGAATAGTGAGTTTGATTTTTTTTGTTTTTTTTTTTTGTTTGTTTGTTTTTGTTTGTTTTCTTACAACTCTATTAACTATACTAGAATATAGAGGGACTTCTACATCTTTCGAGATGTGTTTAAAGGTCTGTTTATTATAACTTTTGGAGTACGTATACTAGAGAAGAGTACTTTATGCAATGTCCCTTGTCATTACCAACTCATAAATACAAATGTTTTTTGGTGACTTATGGTTGGATGTGGTATTGGCAGTTGGGGCCATATGTTGATGTCCTAGAGAGCAAAATCGATCCAAAGTGGTGCTGCCATTTGTGACAGAAAATGTTTATTTCCTCAGCCCCAGTGACAAAAATTATTCAGGGGGAGTGGGACACAGGACAGCTATTAAACATAGTGAAGAAACTTCACAGGCCTAAAGAAACTAGTAAAAGGAAGAAGGAAATAGATTTCTATCATGACACAGAATCCCACTCCTGAGAAAATACAAATAAGCCTGAATTTTTGAATCATCGGTAGGATTCAAGGCTAGTGCTTTCAATGGCAGTCTCATTGTTCGTGTTCTCCCAGCATCATTCTACCAGCCATGGAAGGGTAATTACAGGTTTTGCAATAGCAGATCCCCGGCTCCCAAGTCAAGTCTTTCCCTCCTCTCTGTTGCTCTCTCCACCCTACTTGATCCAATAAATCCTTCTGACATCGCAGAACGCTTCACAAGAAACCGGAGTCAGAAAGCCTGCTTACTTCCCTACTAGGTTCAAAACTAATGTTTTTAGTTTGAAAATAGTGGCATATTGTTACACAGTGTTGGGGTGACAGGACCCGCCATGAGTTCTGTAGGAAAGAGGATGTGAGAAGGTGGGGAAACACAAAACTACAGAAGATCTTGTTTCTCAAGCTCAGAGACTTGTGCTGAAAATAAAGGTTGTCGAGAACTGATAAAACTTACGGGCCTCCTAATGTGCAAAACCAGAGATTTTCTAAGAGTTGTAATCCCCGGTTATGTTCCTATTATAAATAATCTATAAATTTTCCTGTAAATACAAAAACAGGGTGAAGAAATTATTAAAGCCTGTAGTTAATACAAAACACAGTGAAAGGGGGGGATCACCCATTGGGAGTCCTATCTTAGCTGATTTCTGGATGCTTTTCAGTGAGATTTAACCACATTCTGGAAGCCTGTGCTTTCTCAGTCCCCGAAATGGTGGCCACCACCCTTTACATCCCCCAGAAACCAGCTCCACGTGCTCAGGGCAGCTGCTCTGTACAGTCTAGATGGTCGGGGATGGGAAGGCCTGTTATGATGGTCAGACATTTGTTCCACACAGTGAAGGTGGGGCACACGGGCTGCGAGAATGTGATGTCGAAAGTGTAGAGGTGGATGGAGTTCAAGGCATCATAGAAAGCGATGGAGCCGTTATCGTAGTCTAGCAGAATGCCGACGCGCCGGAGGTGGGGGGCTGGCTCGATGGGGATCTCCTTGCTGTTGTGCCTTACCACCCAGGTATTGTGGCAGCGGCACAGCGCCCAGGAAGCAGAGTTCTTGCCAATCCACTCGTGCTTTGGGGCTGACTTGTATGCTAGGCCAATGGCGTACCTGCAGATGCAAAAGAGCAATGACAAGAACCATGCTGCACACATACATGAAGTCCTTTCTGTGATCCTTGGTCATCCCTGTTCACTCTTTAGTGAAAGCTCAGGCAAGAACCCTGAACCCTCTTCCCCATCTTCTTCCCTTTTGGACATAGAGTTGGCAGAAAGGGGCCATTATATTGACTCAAATTCCTGTTTACAGTGAGGATGTTACAAGAGAATTGGAACTTTGTATTGGCTGTCTTTTTTAAATACATTCATAAAGACCCATGCAGTAGATTCATGAGACCAGTGGCATCTAGTAGAACTTTCTGCAATGACTGACATGTTCTGCTCGGTTCAGTATGGTAGCCACAAGCTGCATGTAGCTATTGGGCACTTGAACTGTGGCTGGTGAGACTGAGGAATTGCACTTTTAAGTTAATTATAGTCAAGTTAGTTTCAAGAGCTGCACGTGGCCCATGGCTACCATCTTGGGCAGCACAGCCCTAGACTTCTTCTGACCTTCTAAAGGTCTTCTGACCTTCTTTGAATTTTTCAACTGACATCTTGCCTGTTATCTTCCATGACTTCACAAGGCAAGCATGGAAAATGAGTTTCATTTACAGGGATAGGTTCTTTGTCATCTCCCAGCCTCAGTTTTCTCATCTGTAACACAGGGACAATGATTGTCATTGTGTCTCAGAGTTATTTTGAAGAGTTAAGAAAAGAATATGTGTAAGATCCTGGGCCTAAGACCTGGCATAGAATAGTCAGTAACTGTTATTTTATGACCTTTGCCCAATGACACATGACTAATAACTACCAGAATAGGAATTTGACCCGAGGATGATTTAAAAGGCCACAGACTTAAACAACACTCCCCAATGCCTTTCCTCACCAGAGGAGCCCTTTTGGATTTATTTCCTACTATATTTACAAACATCCTGAATGTCTCTGAGCTTGTGGATGTCCTAGTTAATCTAAATGTTCTCTCACCACTCAAAAAAAAGTTCTGAATTCTCTCTACAGTGTTCTAAGCTTTTTAATCTCTTTTTAGCCTGCTGAAACATGCCTCCATAATGTAGTATTTTTCAGTTATTAAGATAAGCAAGGGCTTCCCAGTGATAAAGAATCTGCCTGTTAATGCAGGAGATGTGGGTTCAATCCCTGGGTCGGGAAGATCCCCTGAAGGAGGAAATGGCAACTGACCCCAGTATTCTTGCCTGGAGAACTCCATGGACAGAGAAGCCTGGTGGGCTGTAGCCGCAAAAGAGTTGGACACTACTTAGCAACTAAACAACAAGATAAGCAAAACCCATCATTCTTAGTAAATAGTGAATGATTCAGAGTTCAATTCTTAACATGTTATAGTAGAAACCAGTCTAACTGGATGTTGACATATGGTACCTTACCTGCCGTAGAGAGAAAAACTTCACTGGACTTTGACATAATGATATTCTTTCAAACATCATGTGCTGGACTTAGAATATAATCACTTAAAGAGTGATGTGTTCAAAAAAGAAAACACACCATGACTGAATTAAGAGAGGATGGAATTGATCCTCTGGTAAGCATAGGGTACCAGCCTGTGTGCTATCAAACCTCTGCACTTCACCCTCGTCAATTCTGTTCAGCATTTTAGGGACACTCCTGGGGCTGCATTTCCCAGAATCCTCTCTCCAATATGGAGTCTGGGTCAGATTCTGCCACTGACACCCGTCCGTACACAAGATCCAGAAGTTCTAAGAGAAGGGGAAACACTGTTTTCTAGACAGTAGACAGCACACGTGAGGTCTGTGGAAGTTTCTGGGCAGACTCCTGGGTGTACCTTGCCTCTGGGCTGTGAATAGCTTTCCACCTTCCAGAAGAGGAGTAGCGGGCTCCCAGAAGCCTTGGCCCTCTTTCTGTTGGTGTACCTAGAAAAAGACTTTTCTTTTTCTCTGAACCCTAACAGACACTTTGGAAAGGTTTTTGTTTTTCACTTTTTAGTATTCTCCCGCAAGACGTTCTATCTGTCCCGGCAGACACCATTTCCCTTTTCAGATAATTTGAAACTTGCATTTGAATCACAAAATAGCCAAATGTCTGTATTGTTTCCTTCTTGCTGCTGTACACCATTTTTATTTTTTAGTAAAGAACTTTGACATTCCTTTCCCATTTGAACCTTAATTGAACCCACTATGGAGTAGCTGTGGCAAGTATTACTGACTGCATTTAGCAAATGGGAAAACCAAGAGAAGGTTAAAATGAGCAAAATCTAGAATCTCGCCCCTTCCCCCTTATGTTGGGTTCCTGTAATCATTGCGTGAACCCACATTTAGTTAACACCATTTCCTAAAATACCAAGAGCACATTAACAGCATTAGAGTAAGAAAATAACTGCGTGTCTAGTCCATTAAGCAACGGAAAATACCATTATATTATCATTAATCTGTAAAATTATGTGCATATTTCCAGTGAGCTTGAAAGGTGCAGGCAGAAGGCAATGTTCCATTAAGGTATGCAGTGAGACTCAGAGAATTCAAAAAGTATAAAATGATGTTTCTCAGAGCAATGTTAACATGCCCCATAGCATGGATTATAACATACAAGTAAATTTCAAGTCAGCACTATACTTCACAAGAAAATGCATGCGTTATTAGCTATTGCAAATCAAAGTATTACAGGCGTTTGCTAGTAAAGGTCACCCTTTCCTCGCTAACACCTCCCAGGAAATGTTAAACTACTTTCTACGTGAGAATTTTCTGAAACGGACATGAGTTTGTAAAGATCTGAAGCGTGGCAATTAATGTGAGAATATTTTCCCCCTGCCTCATGAGTTGGTTTTGACATCTGGTGTTTTCAAGGTAATGCTGATCTGTGTTTGTATAACTGAAGTGGTGTCGTGGAATTCCCCGCACCATTCATCAATGGGGATGAAATCATAACGATCAGGTATCATTTATCATAAGTAATTATTAAGGGGGTTGTAATTATTTAGACACTGGATTCTGTCCCAGATTAACAGAGCCTGTTAATTAACTAGAAATGTTTGCTCTTTTGCACCTGCAAAAATTCACTGTATTTTCCTTTGGGCTTTTATCTTACCCCACTACAGCTACACATTGTAAATGCCAGCCTGGACCAGAGCCAAATACAGGGGGAGGATCTGTCCTTCATCCTTCAGAGGGATGTTGAAACAGGAATGTTCCGAGCAAAGAGAACCTTGAGGGTCACAAGAGGGGAAAAAACCTACTTGCTTGGCTAATATGCAAACCGTTGTTTGGAAAAAGACAACACCCAAGCTTATGAATGTGAATCAACACTGTAAAGGACTTAGACATACTGCATTATTTGCATAGACTTGAACTGAAAGGTTTCTTTTTTTGTAAAATAAGTGTTTTAGCATCTTTATCTCAAAACTAAATACTGTTACCATACTCATCATCTGCAAATTAGGCAGTTTTCAGTTTTAGTTTTTGTTTTTAAAGCAAAGATTCAACTATCACTTATTAAGTATACCACAGTAAGCCTTAAAATGTATTTTTTTTCCTTTATGGTTTATTACAGGATATATTTTAAAAAATTTCTCTTGGAGCAGCTGATTTGACAATGTTGTGTTAGTTTCAGGTGTACAACAAAGTGAATCAATTGTACATAATCTTGGGAAGATCCCCTGGAGGCAGGCACGTCAACCCACTCCAGTATTCTTGCCTGGGGAATCCCATGGACCCAGGAGACTGGTGGGCTCTGGTCCATAGCGTTGCACAGAGTCGGACATAACTGAAGCAACTTAGCACATACATGTATCCATTCTTTTTTAGACTCTTTTCCCATATAGGTCATTACAGAGTATTGAGTAGAGTTCCCTGTGCTATACCATCAGTCTTTATTAGTTATCTATTTTATATATAGTATAATAATGTGTATGTGTCAATCCCAATTGCCCAATTTAACCCTCCCCTCTTTTGTCCCTGATAACCATAAATTTGTTTTCTACATATGTGACTCTATTTCTGTTTTGTAAATAAGCTCATTTGTATCATCTTTTTAGATTCCACATATAAGTGATATCATATATCAGTCTTTCTCTGTCTGATTTCACTTAGTATGATAATCTCTAGGTCCATCCATGTTGCTGCATATGGCATTAGTTCATTCTTCTTTTTATGACTAATTATTACAGGATATTGAATACAGTTCCCAATGCTATATAATAGGACCTTATTGTTTATCTATTCTATATGTAATAGTTTGCATCTGCTAGTCCCAAACTCCCAGTCCATCCCATCCCCTCCTTCCCTGGCAACCATAAGCCTGTTTTCTACCTGAGTCTGTTTCTGCTTCTTAGATAAGTTCACTTGTATCATATTTTAGATTCCACATATAAGTGCTGTCACATGGTATTTGTCTTTCTGACTTACTTCTCTTACTATGATCATCTCTAGATCCATTCATACTGCTGTGAATGGTATTATTTCACTCTTTTTTATAGCTGAGTAATATTCCATAGTGTATATAGACCACATCTTCTTTATTCTGTTGATGGACATTTAGGTGACTTCCATGTCTTGGCTATTGTGACTAGCACTGCTGTGTACTTTGGGGTACATGTATTTTTTTCAAAGCATGCTTTTCTCTGGATGTATGCCCAGGGGTGGGATTGCTAGATCATGTGGTACTTCTATTTTTATTAGTTTTTTTTAAAGGAAATTCCATACTGGTTTCCATAGTGGCTGTAGCATTTTACCAAATCTGGCCCTCGGCTTGTTTTTATAAAGTTTTTATTTGCACCCATTCGTGAATGTGTGGTCTATGGCTGCTTTCCCCCCACAACAGTAGAGGTGACCAGTTGGGAGAAAATCATCTGGCCTACAAACCAGAAATACTGGCTCTCTGGCCCTTTACAGACAACATTTGTGGACCTTTGGTTAACAGCTTGTACCCTGATTGCACCTATGAGCTGTGTGACCTTGGGCCTCAGTCAGCTCATCTGTAAAATGGGGTATTAGTACTTACATTTCTGGGACTGTTAGGATCAATAAATGAGCTACCATTTGTAAAATTCTCAGGCCAGTGCCTGGCACAGAGTTGTACCAGATAAAGGCTGGTTAGTAAAAATTATAATTGCTCATAAAGGGAGCTATTTGAGTGGGCATCTATGAGACAGAAGGGCAGGGTATGAGGTACAGTTTGCGGTTGTGGAATGGGCAAGGTCAGTTTTGTAAGGTGAACTTGGCAGAGTTTACTCATTCCCACGTCCTCTGCCCTGACCTCCACCCCTTGGGCTTACAGAACTCAGTGGGCTCAAGTCACTGGGCTGGATCTAAGGGACACTTTGAAATGAGTCCTGGCCGAGGGTCACTGCTTCCCCCCCAGTACTGATGGGCCCAGTTTAGAGTCACAAAACATACAAGGCAACAGAAATTAATTTCAGTGATGAAGAGCAGGTATTAAAGTAGGAATTGGTGAATTTTCTCTGTAAAGGCCAGAGAGCTAATATTTTGGCCTCGTGGACCACAGAATTGTGTCTTACCTAATCAACTCTGCTGTGTGGCTCAAAGGTAGCCATAGACAATATGGAAGAGAGTGGGCCTTGCTGTTTTCCCATAAATAGTTTATTTATAAGAACACACAGTGGGTCAGGTTTGGCTGTTGTCGGCTGACCCATGCTTTAAGGCATGAAAGGGCAGTATTAGCATACTAGCTGTCCCAGGGACTGGGGCTCAAGTCTTACTGCAAATAAAAAATGGATGGAGTTAAAACGAGTTATTTTTCTTATTGGCCGAATGGTAGATTAAATGATTGCTTGGTACATATTCACTCTCTCCTCTCAACTCCATGGGAGAAATATACTTCCCTGTACCACTGGCACTGAGCCTGGCTGTGTGACTGGCTTTGGCCAGTGAGAAGTTAGTAAGAGGTTTGAAATGTGCTTGCATAGTTGAGTTTGTACTCTCAGATTCCTCAAGAAGGACATGACCTGAGTAGCCCATGTGTCCAAACAGGATGAAGAAACCCATGGAACAGACCTAGATCCAACCTGCAGCTTAAAGCAAGGCCCAGTTGAGATTAGCTTTGATCAGCTAACCCAGAGATATGAGTGTCAGTGAACAGTAGTAAATGATTGTTGGTTGAAGCTACTGAGTTTTGGGGTGTTTATTATGCAGCATTACTATAGCAACAGCTGACTGATAAAGCTTTTGTGCATATTATTTTTCAAGATGGACCTTGGCCTGGGTTGATGTTCCAACAAAGTATAGAATGAGATATGCTTTTTTTTTTTTATAATTGTAGGACAATATCCATCAATAGTTGACTGGATAAAGAAGATATGGTACATACACCCAATGGAATACTACTCAGCCATGAAAAAGAATGAAATAATGCCACTTGCAGCAACATGGATGGACCCAGAGATGATCATACTCAGTGGAGTAAGTCAGACAAATATCATATGATATCACTTATGTGTGGAATCTAAAATATGACACAAATGGACTTATTTACAAAACAAACAGACTCACAGACACAAAAAACAAACTTGTGATAACCAAAGCGGGGAGAGAGGAGGGCTAAATTAGGAGTTTGAGATTGGCAGATGCAAACTACTATGTATAAAATGTGGGGAATAAGGTCATGCTGTGCAGCACAGAAGGCTATGTTCAATCTCTTGTGATCATCTACAGTGGAGGAGAATGTGAAAGAGAATATATTTCGATCAAAGTACCTACCATGTGCTTCCACTTATGACCACTTCCCAGTAATGGCGGCCACTATCAATGAACACGTTTCCAGCTACACCATAGCTGCCTTGGCTGGTGAAGCGTTCGGGTGTGTGGCTCTTTTTGGATGACGACTCATCACGTTCTACTGTCAAGTTATCATGGGACACTTTTAGCTTTCGATGTGCAGATTTGGGGTCCAGTTTAAATGGTTGGCCTAGAAACAGGGTTACAAGACACAAAAGAGGTAGATGAAAAGAACTGTGGATTTTAACTTAAGCAAGAACATATTTTAAGATAAGCTTTAAAAAGTACAGTAAAATCATGAGGACAAACATGTCCCTGCCTCTGAGAGCTCACAGTCAGTCAGCTCTGAGCTGTGGATGCAAGGTTGCTTCCCTGACTGTTCAACAATAGCATGGGTGAGGATCAAGCAGAGCCTGTGGTATAAGCTTTGCCGGGGTCGCAGCTACACACCAGCAGCACAGTTAATGTGCTGGCTGATGTCATCCTGGAAGGGAGGAGAAAATGAAGACTTCATTTTCATCCATTCCCCTGTTCAGTTGGCTTCAGATGAATTCATGCTTAATAGACCTCAGAAACCAAACACATCAAGACTGCAGGTTTTAATGTACACAACATTCTAATGGCTTATATCATTTTGAGATTCTTCCAAATTAGAGCAGTATTCTCATGAGCTTAAAATGACGATCAAATGGGATATTTTTCAGCCCATAAGATCAGGAGGAAAATGTGACAGGTTACTACCTACCTGGGTTTTTGAGTCCCAAGTTCGTTTATAGACGTCAAAGTTCCTTTATAGACGTCAAAGTTCCTTTATAGACATAATAAGGTCCTCTCTGTTTCATTTATTCGTCTTTGTGTTTTGAACATTGAACCATTGTAAAATTCTGGCCGAATTACACCTGAATATCCATCCTCTCATTAACTGTTACTGCTTTGAAAATTCAACACTGGTGTGGGGGCCATCCTGTCATTCAACATCACGATGGGTACCAGACACTTAAAGGCAGGAAACAGATTACAATGTGATGCAAATACCATGATGTTCAAACTCCACTGCTGTGTTGGAAGGCCGCTTCCACACAGTGCTCAGACAATCACCAGAAACATTCTGGTAAGTCTGACTATGGCAATACAAGATGCTGGCTGAGAAACTGAGGCAGACAGCCTGGAGCAGTTGTGTGTGTTACATCATATGCAGGTAGGCCAAAGGGTGTCACTCCTTGGATAAAAACATGACAATGGCACTTCTAAAATTCTTTTTTGTAGATCAGGCAGGGACCAGCATACTTTTTCTGTAAGAGGCCAGATATTTCCTATTTTCAGCTATGCTGGCCATGTGGTTTCTTCTGGGGCTATTTAATCCTGCTGTCAAAACATGGCAGCAGCCAGAGACACAGGTGAACAGACGGGCAGTGCTATGTGCCAATAAAACTTTATTTACAAAAACAGGTAGCTGAATCTGGCCCATGGTCAGTAGTTTGCTCACCCATTTTTAGATTTCTGTTCATATCAAAGAAAACCTTAAAGGGGAGCTGAGAAAATCCTCAAGTGTTGAGCAGGCAGGGGTATTCTCAAAGACTATAAGACCTACTGAAGTCCATGTGTAGTTTAAATTTTGGCCTAGCTTGTGAAAAAATAGAAAAGGTCCTCAGGAATGATCACACCAGCTAAGACAAAAAGAGTCTGAAGATAGATTGGCTTAAAAGGTGTGATAAACCATAATGGAAAAGAATATGAGAAATGAATGTATCTACATGTACAACTGAATCACTTTACAGCAGAAATCAATGCAACATTGTAAATCTGTACTTCCATCAAATTAAAAAAAAGAAAAAGGTGATGATAGAATGTGCCTTAAAAATAATTGGACCCTAATAGGTGGTTAGGAAGGAATTCCATAAAGGAAAGGTGCAGCCATCACTGAAGATGAAGGCTGTGTTATTTACCCTTCTCCCAGTGAGGAAGATCAGAATGTCACAGCCATTGAAAAGACTGGCCTTATAATGGTGAGATCCATCGTGTTTTCCTCAGCTCCCACCCCTATCCACACATATGCAGAGCAGGGTCTTGCCATCTGGTGTTAGGTCCAACCCCCTGCCTCCACAGGGAACAAATTCCACTTGTGCCATGGATGTGTTTCTCAAGGAAACTATGACCTACTCTGTCTAGGTTCAAGGCTTTTGCTTTAATGAGGATAGATTAGTTCACAGAAGAAATTAATCATTTACTTGGCTAAAGAATTCAATGCATTGTAAGATCTGTACACTTAAGAGTTTGGCAAACTACAGCCCGCAGGCCATATTGAGCCCATTGCCTGTGTCTTTCAATAAAGTTTTAATGAAGCGTGGCCAGGCCTTGCTTTTCTACCAGAGTTGAACACCTGTGGCCAAGATCATCTGACCTGCACAGCCCAGAATAGTTACTATTTGGCACATTATAGAAAAAGTTTACCAACCTCTTGTACATAATTTAATAACATCTGATCAATGATTGCATGTCTAGAAGTACAAGATTACCTGTCCATATGAAATGAATACATTATCTTTAGTAAAACCAATAAGGCACAAATAAGAAGCCTCAAAGATCCATTCTACAGAATAAACCTCAGTGTATATATTGGGTTGGCCAAAAAGTTTATTCGGGTTTCTCATCCACTGTTACAGGTTTTTTCCAGTATGTATTAATTTTTTCCCTTATTCTCCAAAGACATTTCCTTCTCTACCAGCAGAACCCTTGAGAAACTAGCTTATGTTTAAAAGTATGTGTCTTAAGGACAGATATGTGCAGTAAAATTAAGTTACTTGACTACTGAAATCACAGATTGGGTTAAATGAAGGTTCTTCTTAAAAAGTAGTTCCTATATAGATTGGCTGGCAACCCTAAAGCATGATGTGATGTTGACATACTCCAATCGACTTTCTCCTGGGAGGTCTTATGCAAATAAATACCATATTATATAGCATAATATTTCTAGACCAAAAAGATGTGGAGAAAGAAGAGGAGGATAAAATAAAACACATGTGGGCAGAGAGAGAGAGCGGGGGATGACAGTGTTACAAGATGCATGCACACATAGCCCGGTTCACTCTTCATTGTTGGGACCATCCTGGACACAGTGGGAGTTTCCCATCACCCCTGGCATCTAACCACTCGACACCAGTAACATCCAGCTGTGACAACCAGAAATGACTCCAGATGTGGATCAGTGTCCCTCTGGGGACCATAATCATTTCTGATTGAGAATCACAGACCTAGAAGCTACCTGAAGAAAGACTTAGTAATTTGAGATTCTGCTATTGGGGCAGGAAGATCCCCTGAAGGAAGAAATGGCAAGCCACTCCAGTATTCTTGCCCGGGAAATCCTATGGACAGAGGAGCCTGGCAGGCTACAGTTCATGGGGTCGCAAAGAGTCGGACACGACTGAGTGTGCACACACACACACACATATGGAAAAGAAGACTGTTGGCAATTTACAAAGAGTCCTAGCTCTGTGCCAGGCTTGGAATAGAGGATTGGATGGAAAAACCCTGACTCCATGCTGGCTGTCTCAGGTTGTAAGCAATGCCTGGGACAGAGAAAAGGGAATTGAAGGGGGCCAGGGGCAGCTGGAAGGAGAGCAAGTTAGAGATGATAGTTCTGCTGAGTTCATGGCACGTACTGTTCGTCTTCAACTTCCCAGGCTCACTGCTGCGGCTGCCTGCCTGGTTGATGGCCTTGACAATGAAGATGTACTTGGTGCCACTCTGCAGCCCGTGGACCGTGTAGTGGTTCTGCTTGATGTTGGGCACGATCATCCAGCTATCGGCCGAGTTGCACAGACCTGCAAAGCCAAGCAGACGTGGTGAGTTCTTTGGAGCAAGCAGGGGGCAAATCTGTATATTAAGGTTGTGGAATTTTCAGTTATTGGGATCAGCAATGAAAAGCTTTGTGACTTCTTCAGGTGCCCACCAATCCACTCGAGTGCTCAGTATCTGCCTACAATAAGGACAGCGACCTATATTTATTACTATATATTCCCACCATGTGCTCTAAGTGGAAAGACCAACTAAGATGACTGTTTTGCAAATTCTGTTCCACGTGGATGGGAGCAGCAGTATCTTAAGTGCCGTGCCTGGTCATGTGTTACTAGGTGCTGTGGGACGGAAAGAAAGCAAGTGACCACACATCCCTCCCCCCTGCTCACATCATGATGAACATTCAGTCTTGGATCTCATCAGTTTTGAGACTCACAGAGGGTAAGAACAGACCCAGATCGTGTATGAGACATTGACCTCACTAATGGAGATGTAGGAGGTTCCATATTTTTGCTTCTCATTCTCCACCCCGCCCACGATCCATATCTAAGTGACTTTGTGGCTACTCCTTCTAAAGAGATGAGATGGATATGCTGTTTTTTACCTCGTGGCTTTGGATTTGGCTATGTGACCTGCTCTGGCCAAGAAAACGAGGCTGCAGTGACAACACACCAGTGGCAGGAGGAGACATCACAAGCCCTTGAGAGTCTGTGGCCCTCTTGGGCCTCTGCCAGGGAAAGAACATTCTGGATAGTCTGCTCATCCCAATGGGAGCAGCCCAGCCAGTTCAGGACTAAGACAAGCAGAAACTGGCTAACACCAGCCCAACTTTGGACAGGAGAGCTAAGAAAATTATTATGGGGCTTATCTGTGGCCCAGTACTGGTCTGGTTGTAATTGATTCAGGTCATGTGTTCCTATGAGAACCCTGGAGCCGTGTGGCACACAAAGGCAACTCAGGGCCCAGTGGAGCTCTGACAAAAGCATCACCAGGGACTGTGACCAGCTGCATCCCCAGTATGGCTGTTTCCAGAGCAGAGCAGGGCCAATGCTCTGGCTGCACGCTGCAGGATGTGGTTTGAGGAGCAGTTTGCGGATTTACGATGCCAGGAAGAACATGAGGAAAAAGGAAGCTGTTTTGTTGTGCAGCTGTGGCTGATGCTGAAAACATCTCTTTGGTACTGGGCCCGACTCTTGTCTCTCCCCTCTCCGCCCATCAATCTCCACTCTAATCGAACCTTTGCCCAGCCCCCTGGTGACTGGGCTGTCTTGGCTGTTTCCTGACTCTGGTGAATTTCCTTCACTAACTCTCAGTAGAAGGCCGAGCCCTTCCACTTCCTGAGGGGCTTCTCAACTTGCCACCCCTCCTTCCCTTTCAGAGGATTTGCAAGTCAAAGGGTTAGTTCTTTTGATCTTGAGGCAACTTACACCTTAACCATACTTCATCTTACCTCTTTGAGTTTCTAATGAAATGTACAAGGAAATCACAAATGCATATCCATACCAACCCACAAGTATCTGCATAGCACTTCAAGATGTTCACGCCCCAACAGCTGTCTCTGAATCCTACTAAATACCATCTCCAAGTTTTCCATTCATCATGAATCTCACAGAAGAACTTAAAAATGTTAATTATGAAAATTCACCCCCTAAGATATGTATCTGGGGTACACAGTATTTCAGCCACACTTCAGTGAGTATTTAACTAAATAAACATACATTTCACATATATGAGAAACCTTATGAAATTTCTCACACTCTTTTCATTTCCAGATCTCACAGAGTTGCCATAAAGCAAGGAAGTAATGTGAGGCTCAGAGAAGAGGCTGAGGGTGGTGTGTCAGTGTTTAGAGATGTACTAGAGAACTAAGGCCCCATTCACCCCTCACCCCCAGCAGCCCCCTCATTCTCCTACCAGTTCTCACCTATATAAGGCCCAGGTACACATCCACACGTAGCTTAGTAACATGGGACTTTCCCACTTACATATCTGTCTTGATCCTTTCTCATTTTCCCTTTTCCCTGAACATAGAGGTAACAAATTCAACACTTCAGGCTAGTGTCACGACCAAACAGCAGATGTTGATCCAACCAAAGAAGGGTCATTTTGAATTCTGAGTTCTGGGCCCTAAAAAGCCTGTGATGCACTTTAGATATTTAATAATACTATTGCAATAGTAATAAAACAACAGACAGAAAACAAACTTAAAGTTATCAAAGGGGAATGGTGAGGAACAAATTAGGAAGTTGGGATTAACTCAGACATACACAAACATATATAAAATAGGTAATCAGTAAGGACCTACTATAGAGCACAGGGACATGTAAGGGAAAAGAATCTGAAAAAAATATGTATAGCTGAATCACTGTGCTGGTCACCTGAAACTAACACAAATTGTAGATCAACTATACTTCAATAAAAATTAAAAAATGAAAGAATGAGCTTTTCTGTTCTAGGATAACCCACTCATATTCCTAGACCTTTGTCAATAGCAGTCTGGCATGCACATGAACAATAACAGCTTTCACTAGAATCAAATGAGAATTCTATCAATGTCAGTGCATTTACACTGTTCCTGTTTAATTGCATATGTCACAGCAAAATGACTATTGCGGTCAAAGAAAGCAAATGTAAAAATGTTTCAATAAACTTTACATCACTGTATAACCCTGATGCAGGGTTTCATGTGGTGGGGGAATGCTTTCAGCAACATTGTAAAGCAGATGTCTGAAATTGCTGCAAACTGCAACTTGGCTTACAGTCTGAAGTCTTAACCCAAAACAAAAAAATTGAATGCTTTAGAAACCCTTTCCAAACTAAAAAGGGACCCTGACCATTCTGATTATTTCGAAGAGGTCACTAATTTTTTCTATGAATATTAAAAGAACAAAATGTTTATAGAGTAGTAAAATGTGATTGGATAACTTTACCCTGGGACAGTCTGCTTTCATGAATGCTAACTCTTAAAATTTAGGCTTACCTCTATCGCCAAGGTCATAATTGAGAAGTTGATTATAAATGCCAAGAAAGCAACGTCGACCATTCTCTGGTGGGGCCTGGAGTAAGTGGGATGCCTCAAAGTGCACCATTATTACATTGCTAGTGTTGGTCAAGTGCCAGCATCACTTAACTTCCCGCATATGGCGCCAAGCACCAGACTTCTCTGCCTTGATACCCCACTGTGTTGGGACTGATGACCAGGTTTTATTCATCACTTTATGAAACACCCGCATAACTATCCCAACTAAAATGTGTACTTCTCTCTAAAGTCATTTTCAATAATCTTTGATGGGATGCCAACACTCACCTTCTCCAATTCAGCCTGAAGTAGTAAAACAACAGTGGAACTTGGAAGATAATTGGTTCATATGGCAACAGTCGAGTTAGGTGATTTTGTAATTTTTTTCTCTCATTCACAATGGGTCAGAAGCATCTCCCTACATGATGGTGCTCATTACGAGATCCTGGTTATGTTTGGGATTTCAGAGCCTTGTAGAGCAACTGTCTGTCATCTTACACTAAAATATTATGTATAAAACATTATGCAACAATGGACACTCTTTAGAGAGACTGCATACAAGCTTCTAACATACTTTGTCTCTTCGACCAGACTGGAGAGAAGTGAATGTTCTCTTCCTTCTTCTGAATATGTCTAAAAAACTTCATGAATATTTTCAAAATGACTAAACTAAATTAAATACAGATAACTACTTTGCCATGAAAGCCTGAAGACATGGATCCTTTGGCTTTTGCCAATAATAAAACAAGCTGCCGGGAAAAGGTTCCAATTGAAGATTTTCAATGATGCATTAAAAATCGTTTTGGAAAAAACATGGAAACATTGTAAAATTAAATACATATCTATGTCTCAACAAGCAATTCGTTAACATCTATAGTCATAAGCCTGTTCATAAAAATGAAAAATAAAAAATTAACATTGTCATTAATTTTGCATTTGAGTGTATGAATTTAATTACGGATAGTCTTTTTTATAAGATTAAAAAGCTTCATAGATAGTATCTAATTCTCCTTCACTAAAGTCAGTTGAGGGCAATTAACTAGAATTTATTATGACAAGTGAAGGAACCATGACTTAGGACAGTAAAAGTCTGCCTTGTGGCACATGGAGCTATAGCCAGCTTTGGAGCATTCTTTCTCCTAATTTTCCATAGAGTTTTATATTCTTAGATCTTATCATTCAGTAGAACATCTGCAAAGGATAGTCTTTTCAACTGACAGGATAGAAGAACAAACAACATTCAATGAAGGCTTTTCATGTGAAGACTGTGTTAAATGCTATTGTGTAGATCAGGGGTCCCTGATACTTGGGCCACGGACTGGTACTGGTCCATGGCCTGTTAGAAACTGGGCCACACAGCAGGAGGTGAGTGGGTTGGCTTCCCCAAAAACAGTCCCTGGTGCCAAAAAGGTTGGGGACTGCTGATGTAGATGATCCTAGCAAATTGCATGACTGACCTTTATCATGTGGCAAAAGATATAATGACAGTGGGTCTAGTCTATATTTTGGTAGGAATAGTAACCTTGAATAGCTATGTGCTAACACTGGCAAACACAGGGCTAAGACCTTTACTTTTAGTATCTCAATGATGTGAAGCTAAAACATGACCTCTTCTTACAGATGAAGAGATAGATTCAGAAGATGTTCAATACTTTGTCCCAAATGATAGTACTAGTGAGGTGAGGACCAAAGCTGGGATTCAAATCCAGGTCTCCTTCAATCATAACTATGCATAATAGTTAAGAAAAGAATAATCTATGGCTTAAAACACATGAAACGATGTTCAACATCACTTGTTATTAGAGAAATACAAATCAAAACTACAATGAGGTATCACCTCACGCTGGTCAGAATGGCCATCATCAAAAAGTCTACAAATAACAAGTGCTGTAGAGAGAGGATGTGGAGAAAAGGGAACCCTCCTAAAATGTTGGTGGGAATGAAAATTGGTACAACCACTATGAAGAACTTTATGAAGGTTCCTTAAGAAACTAAATATAGATCTACCATATGATCTAGCAATCCCCACTTCTGGGCACATATTTGGAGAAAACCATAATTGGAAAAGATACATGCATCCCAATGTTCACTGTGGCACTATTTACAATAGTGAAGACATGGAGGCAACCTAAATGTCCATCAACAGATAAATTCACAGTGAAGATGTGGTACAGATATATGGTGGAATATTACTCAGCCATTAAAAATGAAATAACACCATTTGCAGCAACATGGATGGACCTAGAGATGATCATACTAAGTGAAATATGTCAGACAAAGGTAAGTATCATATGGTATCACTTATTTATGGAATCTAAGAAAAACAGCATAAATGAACTTATTTATAAAACAGAAAAACACTTTGAAAACAAATTTGTGGCTACCCATGGGGAGAGATCAGGGGAGGGATAAATTAGGAGTTTGGGATTAGCATATATCCACTACTATATATATAATAGATATCAACAAAGATCTGCTGTGTAACACAGGGAACTATACTCATTCTCTAATAACCTATATGTGACAAGAAATTGTTAAAGGATAGATACGGGTTCATGTATAATGTAATCACTTTCCTGTACACCTGAAATTAACACAACATTGTAAATCAACTATAATACAAACATTAAAATAAAAAATAAAGTGATATAGAACCAAGGTTGGTAACCTGGGTCTCCCACATTGCAGGCAGACGCTTTAACCTCTGAGCCACCAGGGAAGCCCCCAAGGTTGGTAACAACAAAAAAAAATGATGAAATAACACTCAAAAAGAAAATAATACTAAATGTATGATATAATGAGTAAAACATATAATTCCACTAGAAAATGCTGTTAACCCCATAAAGTCCCATACATTTTCCCCCAGTGGTGCTACTCCCCTCCCATCGCAGAGGTAACCATCATCCTAACTTTTATAGTTTTTAGACCATGTGTACATCTCTAAACAAAATAGTTTATTTTTATCTTTAACTTATACATGTATAGATACTCGTAGTGCATCGATTCTTTTGTCTCCTGATTTCTTTAACAATATGTTTGTAAGATTCGTCCATATGGTTTGCTGAAGATCAATAGTTTTCAACACTCTTTGGCCTATTATTTTTACTAGTATAGCACAAGTGAGTGCTATCATCTTCTTAGTCAGGAAGGACAAGCCAATAAATACTCTGTACTCTCTCCTTCCTTGTCTTCCCTTGATATTTAAATTCAGGAATGCAATCGATCCGAAAAGTCACCCAATAGAGAAATCAATAGGGTGTGCGATACTCACTCACAACATTGGCTTGTCCAGTGAAGATGGTGTACTGGAGCTCATAGGAAACCACACTGAATTCATCATCGGAGGTCCAGTGAACGGTTATGGTGTCATAGGAAGCCGTGCAGAGCTCTTCTCTAATTGTGGGAGGGTTGGGAGCTGTGGGGAACAAGAAGGTCATCAGCAGAGAAGCAGACACTTCTAGGATCCCTTTCAGAGGGGTTGTCTTGATAGTCAAAGCAGGCCTTTTAAAATCTATCCATCAGAACTATTATTCTAGAGACAGTGATCCCAATCTAAAGAACATTTCGTTGGCTGGTTATCACTGTGATTTTTCCCAGGTGGTGTGACTTCAGCCAGCCAATATCTTCTCTCTGTGTATCATGAAAGCATGTCTATAAGGGTAAGCAAACAAGACTCTTTTATTCATGGAAGAAAGCATTTTAAACAAAAAGTAACCAAGATGAGCCTTTGTCATTTAGCCCCCATTGTGGGGATGCAAACTTTTTCGGTAAAGAGCTAGATGGTCAATATTTTAGGCTTTGTGGATCATATGGTCTCTGCTGTTGCTGTTCAGTTGCTAAGTCGTGTCCGACTCTTTGCAACCGCATGGACTGCAGCATGCCAGGCCTCCCTGTCCCTCACTGTCTCCCGGAGTTTGCCCAAGTTCATGTCTGTTGAGTCGGTGATGCTATCCAAGCACTTCATCTTCTGCTGCCCTGATCTCTGCTGCAACTACTCAATTCTGCCTTTGTACAGAAAGCAGCCAGAGACTATTTGTCCACTGAGCGACATGGCCAGATTCTAGTAGAACTTTATTAACAAAAACAGGTGAAGACCAGATATGGCATGGGAGCCAAACATTAGCCAACTTCTGAGTTCCAACATGCCACAGATTTTTTTTTCATTTATTTTTATTAGTTGGGGCTAATTACTTTACAATATTGTAGTGGTTTGTGTCATACATTGACATGAATTAGCCATGGATTTACATGTATTCCCCATCCCGATCCCCCCTCCCACCTCCCTCTCGACCCAAGTAAGCCAGAAAGATAAAGACCATTACAGTATACTAACACATATATATGGAATTTAGAAAGATCGTAATGATAACCCTATATGCAAAACAGAAAAAGAGACACAGATGTATAGAACAGACTTTTGGACTCTGTGGGAGAAGGCGAGGGTGGGATGTTTCAAGAGAACAGCATTGAAACATGTATATTATCTAGGGTGAAACAGATCACCAGCCCAGGTTGGGTGCATGAGACAAGTGCTCGGACCTGGTGCACTGGGAAGAGCCACAGATTTTTATATGCAGCCACTCATCTGGAAAAATGCTGCTGTTTGTTAAACCTTAACAAAGCAGTTAAATAATTCTTCAAAAAATTTCTTTTGTTAGATGTGTTGATGCCTTATGAAAATTTGTTAGTGGGGTTCTATTTTCCTCTCATTTTTCAGTTTATAGGTGATATTTCAAATTAAGAACATGATTACCAATCAGTCATATCTAAGAAGTACATTCTCTTTCCCCAAGAAAAACAGGATTCCTTGGCATTTGATTAAGTTTATCAGTGGGCAAGGCTGCTGTTTTATGTCTTGAACACATTCTGCAGCAGAGAAGTCTAAATCCTACCCAAATGATGATTTTTCAGTTGACTTCTACTGGATTGATTTCAATAACTGGTTTTATTATGAGTTTTATTATGGTTTATTATGAGTTATTTATGGTTATATTATGAGATGAGTTTGTGAGCAAGAAAAAGCCTAGGCATTGAGTGCTTTGCATGGGCAATAATATTTTAGAGCAGGGGCTGGAAAACTATGGTTATGGGCCAAATCTGGCTCACTGCCTGTTTTTGTAAATAAAGTTTTATTGGAACACGGCCAGGCTCATTCCTTTACGTATTGTCTCTGGCTGCCTTTGTGCAATAGCAGAGTTGAATAGTTGTGACCATATGTCCTGCAGAGCCTAAAATATTTACTATCTGGCCCTTTATAGTCAAAGTTTGCTGAGCCCTGGTTTAAAGAATCGATCTAGGCCTTTATTTTCATTCTACTGTACACCAGAACCTAAATTGAAAAGGAGAAATAATCTGCATCCGACAGATGAGGAGCCATGTTTGCTTACACTGTTAAGAGAATTCTTTACTGCTTGAAACTTTGGTTAGGATGGATGACTCCTAAAGAAACCTGAGGAGGGAGCAAAGTTTATGAAAATGGTAAAATTTAAAATTTTGATTGTTTTAGTAGTCTTCACTTTGCCACCTGAAGATACATGAAGGAAAAATATTATATGAAGCCAACTGACTTTTATGTCTGCAACATAAAGTCAGGTAACCCAGCTTAGTCTATTGGTTATTGAATTCCACGAACACTGTAGAGCACTTATATGCAGCAGGCACTGCATTAAGGTGTGCAGTAAGAAATACTACACAGCCATTAAAAAGAATGAAATAATGCCACGTGCCATGGATTTAAGAGATTATCATACTAAGTGCCATATGGAAAAAAATACCATGATATCATTTATATGTGGAATCTAAAATATAAATGAAACAATCTATGAAACAAACAGGTTCACAGACATAGAGAAGAGACTTGTGGTTGCCAAGGGGTGGGAGAGGGATGGAGTGGGAGTTTGGGATTAGCAGATGTAAACTATTACTTTTAGAGTAGATAAACAGCAAGGTCCTACTGTAGAGCACAGGGAAATATACTCAATATCCTGTGATAAACCATAATGGAAAAGAATTTTAAAAAGAGTGGATATATGTATATGTATAACTGGATCACTCTGCAGTACACCTAAAACTAATGCAACATTGTGAATCAATTATACTTGAAAAAAATACAATTTTTAAAAAAGATAACTTGAAAAAAAAGTTGTTCACTAAGATCAAAGGACTCTACAGAGCCCATTTAAAGCATTCTTTCTGCAATATGACTTGATATATCTGTCTCCCAAAGTATCCACGTGCAAGATGTCATGTGCTGTGACTTGGATGAAGAGATGACCTTCCACGGGGGAGGCCCAGCTGCATCATAAAACATGCTTGTTACTGTATGTGTGGTCCCTGTTAGTGTGGGATCACCCTGCATGGATCAGTGGAGAAATAGTTATTCTCCCATCATCTAAATAGTTCCTGGAATTATTTCTCTGTCAACTACTGTAGAGAGATTTGTTTTTTTCTGCACTGCTATATATGATTACATATAAAGAAAAGTGTTGGAAATAGGCAGGTAGCTGGGAGACACATGGCTGTAGCTGTAATCAGAGAGGAAATGTCACCTCTTTGGCTTATTCACTTGACATACCATTTAGAGGCATGTCAGGGGCAAAAAAAAATCTTGTTTTCATAGTCAGGCAGGCTAACCCTGTTTTGATTATAAAGCCAATGGCTTTGTCCTAAAAAGTCAATATCCAATTTACTGTAAATGAGAACAGCAGCGGGCTGCCAATTTCAATATTCACGCAACTGGTCCCATAAATGTTATTTTCTTGCTTCTATCATAAACAGGACACAAGCAATGGTGGGTTAATACTTCACAAACACTTCGTTTCCTGCTTACAAATGTCTGATAAACTATTTGGACTTGGCAATATCAGCCAAGCATTGTATGTTATGGCCAGGATTGATGTTATGTCTAGAAATGGTCCAAATTTGTATTGGAGGTTGACAGCTAAGAAGGCATAATAACAGGTACCCCATATGGTCTCTCGTTTGGCATAAACAGTCATTGGGATGATATATGGTGTACACATTACAAGTCAGTGCAAACTAAGGTCACAATTTCCCCTGCAGTCAGTACCTTGGCATTCACACACAGATGAGAATGGTCATACGTTTCCTGAAATGCTATTAAACAACTATTGGGAAAGGGGGAGGACACACTCTTATCAATAAGACACTGATTTTGTGCAGAAATGTCTACACGCCCAGCCAAACATTTTGCAGTCGTCTTTGCCCTTGGGCATGACCTTGCAACATGGATCTGGCCCATAAGACAGAAGTGGAAATTTCCTGGATGTGTCTTTTTCACTTTTTTTTTAAAAAGATTTCCTTATTATTTTTGGCTCTACTGGGTCTTCATTTCTGCACAGGGGCTTTCTCTAGTTGCAGTGAGCAGGGGCTATTCTCTATTTGCGGAGCACAGGCTTCTCATTGCAGTAGCTTTTCTTGTTGTGGAGCACAGGTGCTAGGGCTCATGGGATTCCGTAGTTGAGGCACATGGACTTCATTGCCATGTGGCATGTGGGATCCTACAGAAGCGGGGATCGAACCCATGTCCTCTGCATTGGCAGGCGATCCTTAACCCCTGGACCACCAGGGAAGCCCTGGATTGGTCTGTCTGCTGAACAAGGTTTTGGTTTTCCTAAATAAAGACAAACCTGGTAGACAGAGCTTTTGGTTATCATCTCCCCTCTTGTCCCTTTCTTTTTGTCTGTAACTTGGGCATAATGCTTGGAGGTGGAGTCATTATGGAATCATGTGGCAAGATGAGGATAGCAAAGCAGAAAAAGAGAGCCTGGTGTCTGAAGTCATCACAGAACTGCTGTCCCGCCATAAGTGGCACACCTCTGCTATCCTGTTTTCTGTGACAGGAATCCTCTCTGAGGGGTTCAGTTACTGCTCACTGGATTTTCTCTTGTTGCAAACACACCCATTCCCACACGATACAAGAATAAAAGAGACTTTTATTTAATAGGATGCTATAATATAAAGCATTTCAGTGCCAGAAAGACTGACCTGAATGGTCCAATTTAGTAGTCATGAGCTCCATGTGGCTCTTGACATTGCAATTAAATTTTAATTAAAGCAAACTACATGTAAAAACTCAGCACATGTCAAATTTTCAATAACCTTATGTGGCTAGCAGGTACTTGAATGGACAGTGTGGATAGAGACTGTTCATACCATCTTAGAAAATTCTATGGAATAGTGTTAGTTTAGATAAATCTCAGAGTTATATCCATGAATGGCTGAAATCAAGTTTGATTCCTTACTGGACATGCTTTCTGAGTCAATTCCTTCCCTTCTTCCTAGGAATTGTATGGTTTGAAAGAATTCCCTACAATAAGAAGATGTTTCTGGAGTGACTTGCCTCCCTTGCAGATGCACAAAGGCTAAAAAATAACACCTTGGGTCCAGGTAAGGAAAAACTGGTCTTCTGGGTACAGCACCCTTTAATATACAAGTCTGCTTTCTAACCATAGACTAGAAAAATACCCATTACCCAATGCTCCCTCTCTCCTGCTTCCCTTTTTCCAGCTGCGTGTATGTGCACGCACACTCTCTCTTGCTCTCACATACACATACACGATGAGAGTGGAGACACTGATGTTGTGCTCAGTTAAGGATGTGGTCTCTTGAAGGTGGTAGATCCTAAGTTCAGGGGACACCTGGCTTCACTGTGTATACAGAGCTTCTCTGAAGTCACAGGCATCTGCAGCCTTGGACAACAGAGATAAAGTTGTCTACTCAGTCCACATTCTATCATGTCTGTTCTTGCCTTAGTTGTATAATTGCTCAGTCATGTCCAACTCTTTCGTGATCCCATGGATTATAGCCCACTAGGCTCCTCTGTCCATGGATTCTCCAGGCAAAAATACTGGAGCGGGTTGCCATTTCCTTCTCCAGAGGACCATCCCAACCCAGGGATCGAACCCGAGTCTCCTGCATTGTCAGGTGGTATCTTTACACTGAGCTACCTGGGAAGCCCAGGGGTTGACAACAAAGAAAAATTTGGGAGCATGGTTAGGACTAGGAGTAGCCTAACGTTTTCTTCTATTATGGCTGATTTTGTTTTTTAAGCTTGACCCCCAAGAAAAAGCCTGCCAGAAACCACAGAACTGAAACATGGCACCAGGAATCCTACTGTGATCTGGGGGACATTTGCTATGGTGACCTTTGCCGAGATGAAATCCAGTCTTTTAGTAGAAAGAGGCGGAGGTCTTTGGAGTGTGTACAGACCTGAGGCATATCCCAATTCTGCCTCTCCCTAGCTATCTGACCTCTACTGTTTGCAAAATGAGGATTATAATACCTCCTGACCTCAATTCGATGTTGTGAAGGTTAAATACCAAGAGGTGGAGCAGGGTAGATACCCCATCAGAGTTAGTTGCCACGTTTTTCTCAGCCAAGGTACTGTGAGAGTCATCTGCCTTGTGGACATGAAATGGAAAACAGCCACGCTAACCCTGTACTGGCTGACAGAAGTATCATGTGTGGTACCCATACTCTGAGAAAAAATGGTGGTAAGTGTGCTTTTAGTGACCTAGATTGTCTTTTTGCCTCTGTCCCCAATGAATCTTGGGCTGTATTATTTTGCTTAGAAAAAAAAAAGGAGTATCAAACATTTTTTACAGGAATATTAGACTTCATTCCTCACCAGAAGTCCACACCTCTGGTTTTAGGAAACTCATCTAGTGGCAAAGTTTTGTATCATTGAATGTACCTGGTATTAAAGAAGATACCAAAGACAATACCTGTAAGGTAATCCAGACATTCTAGCAATTTCTTCTCTCGGGAAAAATCTAAGGCGAAGGTGTCAAATGTGTCATTGAGGTTGATTTCAGGAATGAGGACCTGGGATGATGCTGTTGCCATGGAGACTCTGTAATTGAAACAAAACAATTTTTTAGAAATGTCAAGCCGGCTTTTACCATCACTGCACAGGAATGAGAAGATAAAAGGAAAAGAAATATCATTAAAAAATAGTGTTATTGATGTAAGCTCATATATAGGATGGATAAATGACAGGGTCCTACTGTATAGCACAGGGAATTGTAGAATATTCAGTACTGTGTGATAAACCATAATGGAAGAGAATATGAAAAAATATATACATGTGTAACTGAGTCACGTTGCTGTACAGCAGAAATAAATACAACATTATAAATCTGCTGTACTTCAATTAAAAATAAATTTTTTTAAATGTCAAAAAAACACAAAAACCAGTGCCGTTTTTATACGTGAGCCTTAAAAAGAATCTCGGAATGGCACAAGCAGCAACACATGCAAATGAGCACAAGCTTCAAGAGAAGGCAGAGGACGTGGGAAAACAGCAGAATGGCTTCCTCCCTTCCTTTTTACTATCGGAAAAAAAGTCCCCATGGAGGCGAAAGAATATTCATATTTCACATTGCTGTGTATGTAACTGCCTGGCCCCCGCACATCTAACCCGAGCAAGAAGCACACGGCCCCAGGCATTTCTTCACACATCTGTCTGGGAAACTGTTTGTTCCTTTCAGACCCGACCCCGCTCCACTTCAAAGAGGAGCCTCCCAAATTTCAAGCTGCATAAAAGGCAAAGTGAAGATTAAAAAAGAATGTTCCCAGATATTGGATTAGTTTAATCAATGACTAGCCTCTCTCTAAAATAAACATTAAAAAAGGAGTTTTGGTCTGGCTCGTTTTCATTCTCCCTGTCCTCATTTTCTTGTACCATATTCCCAGCAGATGCCATAAAAAATACGTATGAGCTTTCTCACACATTTCACTGATGGATCCACTGTTTCTCTTCTTCATTAGGGTTGCTAGTTAGACTTCTCATGTATACTCTATAAAGCAAGCTATTGGTATGTATCAATCTCCTGCAATGGACTGTCACATTGATTGGAAAAGTTGTTATCAATAGCAGACTATTTTGACTCATTAAAGAATACAAGTGATCCTTCTAAGAACAAGAAAATTATGGGATGATGTAAACCACTTCTGAGTGCATCAAAGTATGCTAGACTCGTAATCTTGTTGATTCTGGTATTTCAGGACATTAAACAATCACCACCAAGGGCCTATTATGTGTAGCGTGCTAGGAAATTTTGAGCAAAGAAACAACCTTTACCTAGTTACTTATTTTCTAATTAAGGGCACTTACGCTCATGTATACAAGGCCATAAAGCTAGCTGGCAGCAGCCAGGAAGAGAATTCTAGGTCTGTACTCTTCCATTTAGCCTAGAAAAATTTCAGCCAGGTTACTCTATGAGGTAGATCTCTTCTTACATCTCTTAATGGCTCTTAAAGTTTTGGATTTTATAAAGAAATATATCTTGGTTATAAAAATTACATCTGTGGGCATGTCTATACAATGGAATATTATTTAGTCATAAAAGGGAATGAGATACTATTAGATGCTATGATGTGGACGAGCCTTGAAAGTATTATGCTAAGTGAAACAAGCCAGAGACAAAAGGCCACATCTTGTATGATGCAGTTACATGAAATGTCCATAGCAGGCAACTCTGTTGAGATAGAAAGTAAACTGGTGGTTGCCAGGGGTTGGGGGCAAGGGGACAGTGGGGAGTGATTACATAATGGGTGTGGGGTTTTCTTTTGGGGTGAGGAAAGTCATTTGGAACTTGATAGAGGCAGCAATTGTACACTGTTGTGAATGTACTGAATGCTAATAAACTGTTCACTTTAAAATGGTTAATTTTATGTTATGCAAAATTTACCTTGATTAAGAAAAAGTCCTGTGAAATGCTTGAAATCCTTAGAAATAAAGTTTCTATAATTGTACTTCTGGCACATATTCAATGCTACAGAGGGGGGGAAGTAGAGAAGACAATCAACAGTGTCATAACTGGAATGATACTGAGGTCCACAGATGAAAGTTTGAAGAGGCCTAAACCCTGGAAAGAAAAGTTTCAAGTGTTTGAATGAAGATGGAGAATCTAAATTCACCACTCTAGCTTTTCACCAAGAAACAGTAGATAGCAGAGTTGTGTGATTTTATTAGCTAATTATTGTACCCAAGAGAACTAGACTAATTATTATGACAAGAACTAATTCAGACTCATGGATAAAGGGATGGTTGCTAGGCAATTTTCACACATGGTCAAACTGAACTTAAGAAATGCTTTCCTTATGACCTATTATCACAAAACTCCTTCAAACTCAGATCTTAGGATTAGTCAACAACTATTCAATGAATATTGAGTAAGCCCTCCAATTATGTCATTTACTGAAGAGCCCCAAATATTTGCATCCATGCAGAAAAGTACAAAGAAATGCTGCAGTGCCATTTGAACTCCTCAAATAAAAATTTCAAAGTGAAACCCCAGTTATTTCTATTTTATGATGTCCAACAGGGAGAAGTGTGCCAAGCTATTATGAAGCAAGCACTGAACTTTCTGTTGTGCTTCTCTGCTCTTCCCATGTGGCACAGACCTTGTGCGCACCAAGTTAGAGGATCTCAAATGCTCTGAACAGATAATCTCGAGCTGGTACTTCCCCTGTCCTATGGCACCAGCTTCTGTTCATGTTCATCCAAAATAGATTTCATTGCCAAGTTTCTCCTGGTTCTGTTGTCCAGAAATAATCAACTAAACCATGCTTTAGTCAGGGACATTGTTGACAATGCCTGCATCCATTTTAAAAAATAATTCTATTTATTTTTTGGCTGTGCTGGGTCTTTGTTGCTATGTGGGCTTTTCTCTAGCTGTGGCGAGCAGGGGCTATTCTCTGTTGCAGTGCATAGGCTTCTCACTGCAGTGGCTTCTCTTGTTGGGGAGCATGGGCTGTATAGCAGAGCATGGGCTATAGGGCGTGCAGGCTTCAGTAGTTGCGGTTCCCAGGCTCTAGGCACAGGCTGAGTAGTTGTGGATCACAGGTTTAGTTGCCCCGTGGCCTGTGGGCTATTTCCAGACCAGGGATGGAACTTGTGTCTCCTTCATTGGCAGGCAGATTCTTTACCACTGAGCCACCAGGGAAGCCCAATGCATGCCATCTTGATGGTGGGGATTTGATAGAGTGGGAACAAAAAGAATGAAAGTTCCTAAGCCTCGGGGGCAAAGACTGACAAAAAGACTCTTGGGAGATGACTGCAGCTTTTAACACCTACACATTTTTTTTTTCGATGGAAGGAAAGATATTTATCTTTGGCTACAATTTCAAATTCTTATCTGGAGTGACAGGGGAGTGGAGATCTGCCAAATTCAACATTTTAGGCCATGTTTTTATTCCCCAAATCCTTGTTGCCCATCTTTTGGCCTTTCAGATAAATTGCCCAAATCCACCAGGGCCCTCAGACTATACTACTTTCTCAGTTCTGTGCTTTTAGTCATGTCTCTCTCTCTCTCTCTCTCTGTGTATGGGAATATGTGTGCACATGCTTATAGGTATGTGTGTGTCAAGCTCTTACCATGCTGGAGGAAATAAGGGTATTGCATCCTACCTTGATGCCTCATAGGGTGGGATGCACATTACTTCCTTTTCCTATTTTTTTTAAAATTAATTCATTTGGCTGCACCAAGTCTTAGTTGCAGCATGTGGGATCTTGTTCCCTGACCAGGGATTGAACCTGGGCCCCCTGCATTGAGAACACAGAGTCTTAGCGACTGGGCCATCAAGGAAGTCCCTACCTCCTCTTTGTATTTTGACTTCAATGCCCCTAATCTCCATGACACGCAGTTGCTAGGAGCCACTTGGGGCCAGTGTTGTGGAAGGAATACATGTCTAGAGCTACAGTGCTTACAACATTTCCGCCAAACAGTCAATGGGGAAGGTTCTCTACCCTGCTCCCTTAATATTGCCCACATGTCTGACCCCTGACAATGGAATTGAAATGGGTCCCTCACAGGTCGGTGGGCTATGATGCACATCACCATGGGAAAACCTGGTGAGGTCTCATAGTAACAAAATGTGGCTTACTTTCATCAACTCAGGATTTACCAAATGCATTTGACTCTGGAGCCTTGTTGTTTTCAGACCAATTAACACCCAGTAGAACGCATTTCAAAAATCACTCATCAGATGCACTCTGATTCTTATGATGAAATGACATCTTTCCGGTGGATGACTGGCATTCTCAGTTTTGTATTCTGGGGAAGTCTGTTGGATCCTTGAATTGCCCCACTGTGGTTTGGGACAAAGACTTCATCTGATAGAATCTAAGTCCCTCCTAGGGATGGAAGTCAGCCTGGCTCCTCTGTCCATGGGATTCTCCAGGTGAGTATAATGGAGTGGGTTGTCATTCCCTTCTCAAGGGGATCTTCCCGACCCAGGGATCGAACCCTTGGCTCCTGCATCTCCTGCCTTGCAGGCATATTCTTTACTGCTGAGCCACCAGGGAAGCCCCTTGATACATATAATTTGCTGCTAAATGCGATTTTAATTTTAGATGTCTCATAAGTAGTACACCAACTTTCTTAGGCTTAGATTGAGTACAGAATTTTTCTTATTCGACATAATTTTAGAAAAGTGTACAAAAAACCACTCCAAGAATGATATATTAGCAAGGCTTGAGAATATAGTCCATTATACAATCCATTTGGATCCATTTAGTGAGTGGGAAGGAGGGAAATTAGCATTTGCTGCTCATTTACCTTGAGACAGGATCTCAGTTAATATCTTTGTTAAATTATTTCATTTTATCCCTACAGGAACTGTATTAGGTAGGAATGAATAATCACCCTGTTTTATAGATGTTTTCATGCATTCATTCAGATCAGGCAGCTTGCTGTGTCATGGCGTCTTCATGGTGAAAACAAGATGACTGGGGGTCTTGCCCACTGGGAGCACATGAGAAAACTGTAAGTATCAGGGAGCAGTCCTAAATGCCAGCTGTCACTACTGTTGTTCAGTTGCTTAGTCATGTCTGACTCTTTGTAACGTCATGGGCTGCAGCACTCCAAGGTTCCCTGTCCTTAAGAAGTTTGCTCAAATTCATGTCTATTGAGTTGATGATACCATCCAACCATTTCATCTTCTGCCACCCCCTTCTCCTCCTGCCCTCAATCTTTCCCAGCATCAGGGCCTTTTTCAGTGAGTCGGCACTACTCCTGAGCAATTAGCATAGAGCCAAGGGCTTGATTCTAAAGCATATGCATCTCTTACAATGTAAAACTCGAGGCTCTCTCCCCTCTTGGGTTTTTTTTTTTTTCATGTTTCTGAATTGAAAAATCTTTCTGCAGTCTGATTCAGCTTGTAGGCAAACATATGCACTTTAAGTGATGTAAGGATGCAGAAAAATTGCATCCAATTCTAACTTGAGGAAGGCCTGCAGTATTAAGTTTCCTGTGGTCATTCTATCCTTGACTAGAAGAGTAAAGATGGTTTACAAGTACACAGGTGCCAAAGCCCAAGGCAGACAGACAGGAACAGAGCTGTGAAGTCACGTTTTAGAGAAGAATGTTAAGTAATATGAAAACACAAATCGAAGGAACATTGTGGAGTATCTACAACACCAAAGACATGTTTATAGGAGTGGCCAGCAATGTTATCACAACTGTAGATAGAGGTAGCTATTAGGAGCCCAGTTTTCTGAGTCAAAAATAGCTCTTGGACAAACCCAAAGAATCACAGTTAAAAGGTGACAGTGCTAGGATTTGAACCCAGGTTTCCAAATTACAAGTTCAATGTCATTGCCCTTTTACCACATTCTGGTTGCTGGAAAAGGCAAAGGGTTCAAGAATTGACCAAGAGGATTGACTATAGAGACAGACAGAGATGGGATGAAGAAACAGAGTGACAAGGGCTCCTAGCAAATTTTTACAGGTAATACGCATTCAAACTTGATGGAAGTTTAAACTTTTCATAAGTACTATGCCAAGTTTCTTAGGGATTTAGTGAAGAGTTTTGCTTATTTAACATCATGTTAGCAAAGTGCACATACAATCACACCAAAAATTATGTATTAGTGAGGCTTGAGAATAGAGTATTGGATTGATCAATAAGTTCATTCAGGTGTTTCCATAAGTTGTTATGGAATAAGCCACAGGAACTTTCTGGCGAACCCTATATATGATAAAATTCATTTGTGGAAAGAGCAATGGGTCATGATTCTATTCTTGATGAGATGGGCCTGTGAGAGGTAGAGTTGAATGGGTCCAAGTATGACCTGCTGGGTCAAAGGGAGATGCCATGTGGGCATCCATGCTCTTGTGTTAGACTTCAAATGCAGATCTTCTTCCAGAACATTCTATCTTAACTGTTATAGGGACATGTTCTCTCTCCTGCTAGGTGAGAATTTATCCATGTTAGACTGGCTCAGACTTTTAAGAAGTGCTGAGAAATTCAACTCATACTAGCCATTTCATCTGGACATTGCACAATTTATAGCTGGAGAAAAGTACTAGTGGATCCCAGTTGGAAACCATGATGTAAGTGTAAATGCTGTCTACTTGAGTGTCCTGGGTGCACTGGAGTATTAGTGCTGTTAGCAGGTTTTTAACTTTAACATGAATATTTCAGGCACCTGGAGGCAGTCCAGATGAGAGCAGTGGAGACAATTAAACACTTGGAACTGACGAGTCCTGAGGAAAGAAGCTGGCTGCTTTGGAGGAGGGAGGAGATCATTTTAAGGATATAAAAGGGATGATAACCAGCTGTTATCCATGTTCATTGGCAGAGATAAGTATCTAACCAGTCGCAGAGGAAATCTCAAAAAGAAGAAAGAACACAAAGAAACTGGCTGGATACTAGACTAGAGCCATAAAGAGACTATACCCTCCTCCCATTGAAGGGATACTGGAAGCGGAAATACCACTGCTGACCTCTGTGTGGTATTTTGAGAATCAGCACAGTGTGCAGTATAAGCAAGCCCTCGATAAGCTGTAGTTTTCTTTCTCTTTCCCTGAAGAAATTCAGGTCAGAAGATGGTAAGTATTTTTTTGCCCTAGGCCAAGGGCTGGCAAAGTCCAGTGTGTGTGCTAAGTCACTTCAGTTGTGTCTAACTCTCTGCAACCCCATGGAATATAGTCCACCAGGCTCTTCTGTCCATGGGATTTTCCAGGCAAGAATACTGGATTGGGTTACCATGCCCTCCTCCAAGGGATCTTCCCAACCCAGCGATCAAACCCTTCCTGCATTGGTGGGTGGGTTCTTTACCACTAAGCGCCACCTGGGAAGCCCTGGCCAAGGGCCAGATCTGACCTGCCACCTGTTTTTGCCAGTGGTCTTATTGGAACACACTGTTGCCCGTTCATTTGCATCTATACTAGGCTGCTGGAGACCTATCATGGCTGAGTTGGGTAGTTGTCATGGGGACTAGATAACCTTCATAGCCGAACATATTTACTCTCTGGTCCTTTATAAACAGAGTTTGCAGAGCCCTGCTTCTGGATAAAGGTCAGGAAGCAGGAGCTGTCTGGGGTCTTCCAGGGATAGGCTTCAATTATTGCTTTGGATAAAGGTGAGTTGACTCTGAAAATTTCACTAAATGAAAAGTCAATGTCAATGGCATTGGCTGGAGATGTCATGCATTTAGGTGGCATGAGGTGCTTTTCTTGGGCTCCCTAAGAATTGCTATAGGTGTTTGCATCAGTGAAGGCGAGTAATTTTATGCCTATCAAGTATGTGCACTGAAGGCGCAGTGACCCCTGTCAGTTTCACTGCTGAGCTGTCCCTTCAAATCATGTAATGTTTATGTCCCCCACCATAGAATAAAGAAGATTTTCAAAGAAGGAGGTATGAAGTTGACAGTTGGGTCCTCTCTCTCCCACATGAGTTGGTCTTGACCTTTGAGGAGAGGCAAACCTTCTCAACCAAATAAAAACAGGACTCACAGAGAAAAACACCTGGGTGGTTTTTAAAACTAGATAAGCCTTGAGATGGAAGAAAAGATTCCCTTTTATGTTTTGGTCTTCATTTTGATTCTTCGTTATTAAGTATATGATAAGATCAGGTCTGAGAGTCACAGTAAATGCAGTTTTGTGCCATCATAAGCTTTCTTCCCCAGTAAAAGGAGGCAGATTTTATTCTTTCTAACTGGCAGACTCTTGTTTCAAAGGCCTTGAACTCCCGGCTGATACTGAAAAGGCTTTGACAGGTCAAAGGGAAGCATTTTGAGCTGGAACAAAGCAACTCAAAGCCTCTATTCTCTCTGGTACCCAGCCTTGAAAATGCAAACAAAAGCAAGGCAGGGCAAGGCCAACCAATCACGGCCCAGACACGGGAGCCCAGGCACTGAGAATTTCCCAGCAGCCCCTGCACTCACCTCTCAGTGATATTCTTAGCAGTCTGTAGGAAACGCGCGTGATCATTCTCCTTCAGAGAGTGTTCTGCTTGGGAGATGAGTGATGCCGACCGCTCGATGCACTGTTTGCAGTTTGCAATCTGCTGAGCCAGTTTGCGAAGCCTCATCACCTGGAACAAAAGAGGCACGGAGATGGTTGGTTACCCGGGTAGGCTTGCTTAGTGAAAATGCATTGTGCTGGACCCTCACAGTGTGCTAGTTCGGTTGTGTGCAAGTCATCCTTCACTAAAAGTTCAAACAGGAGGCAGAGAAAGCTGCGAACCCCAGTCATGGCACTCTTGTCTGAGCTATTCTTTATCTTCTTGGAGAAGTGTCACTAATTTGTTTCAGGAGGAAGCCCTGAATTGCGAATTGCTTCCCTGTTGATGGGGAAAAAAGGTGTTGCCCAGTGTGAGTTAGAGGGCCACTGGGCCTCTTCCCTCAGCCATTCTAACACAATGACTGTAAGATCACAGGGAACCCTGGAACTTTCTCTATTGTATTTTTTCAGCCAACGAGAAAATAAAACATCACTGTAGGTGCAAAACGTGTGGCTTAAGTCAAATGAAAAGTTCTTTGCCATCCATGTAAGAGAATGGTGATGTAAACACATTAGATAGTACTATTTCCCACACTATCACAAACTCATGTGTTAAATTAACAGAAAGGGAGCATTTTTTCCATTGATTAATATTTTTCCTGTTCCACAGATGAGAGAAAGCCAAAAAAAGCACAGCTGGACCATTTCCCCTCACCGGGAACGTCATTTCCAGGCACTTTGTGCTTGCTTGATAACTAAAACTATTTTGATAAGCAGTTCCCAGTCTGGATAAAAATGCTCATTTGGTTCCAACCTCCATTCCAACTTCTGATTCTGTCTTGCTTGAAAACGACCCTCAAACATAACTGACCATCACCTTAGGGCAGGCTGTGATAAGTCCATGGTAACCCACTTGACCGGTCACACTGGTGTTTGCAGTGTGCTGGGAGATGAAGCCCTCTGGCCAGAAGCCAGGGGAAAATGAGAGTGCTAATTGGAACAGCAGTGCACCCTGTGCGCGCCGCCCCCGCCCCCGCCCCCACCCCCTCCGTCCCAGCTCAAGTCTACACAGCCTGGGACAGGTCTTGGCCGGCTTTCTGATCATTCCGGAATGGAAAACAGCCTGGGGTGAAAGGGTAGGGAGGAGGCCAGTTCATCTGTCTTGCAGACAAGGCTGGCTCGGGTTCCCTCCAGAATTCCTGCTAACTCCAAGAAATTCCTCCTTTCTCCAAGTCATCATTATCATCCCTGTGCAAGTCTAATCGAAGTAAAGGAAGGAAGGAGATGTCAGAACTCGAGGCCTCTGAGGACTGTCCAATTTCAGCTCTGTTGTACCGGAGCAGACAAAGGAAATGAATGCTGAACTGTGAGGCGGCAGCCACAAGATTGCAGGCAAGAGTGAGATTCTTGAAAGTCAAGGGTTAGAGAAATGAAGTGTCAAAACTCTGGAGCATACAGTATGTTATCTTAAGCCCGGTAAAATATTTACCACATTATATATAATTACAGTGACCATCACTGCCAATTAACTGTGTTTGTTAGTTGAATAAAATGACACTTATTGTACACCAAATAGAATTTAGCTTCTAACAGCATTATATCCAGAGATAAAGCTCAGAAAGGCATCGAGTCCAATTCAAGATGTTGGAACACATCCAGAAGAAATTGTCAGAGGAAGGAATACTTAATCACAAGTTACATGGCAGAACTGAAGATATTTAGTATAATTCTAACAGCAACAAAACAAATAAGGTCCAAGTATTCCTTTTGAATAACTTCATGTCCTTTCAGTATACGTTGTAGTGATCACACAGATTACAAATGGAAAAATGCTTGACCTGCACTTTCTTCTTTAAAATAAAAAACACACAAAATTCTATCATGATGCTGGAAATTCAAAGTGACATAAGAAGAAAAGGAAAAAAAAAGTCCTAAATCATGCATAAGTTGAATTCAAGCCAAAATGAGAGCCACCTTAGAAAATATACAAATGTTTTACAGAAGACAACTTGGTTTAATTTTAATTTTACTTCTGTGTAGAATTCCATCTGATAGACCAGACTGGAGCTTTATAAGCCTGGCGTGCACAAGAATCAGTTGGGGATTTCTTAAAGAAAACCTGTAAATGTCTGGGCCAACACTTCAAAATCCTAGGTGAGGGCTTATAATTGGCAGGCTGTGGGAATCTGCATTTTAACAAGCAATGGATATTTTTTGCTCTGCAGGTGATGAATCACCAGAATGGATGGGATTAGCATTTTAAAAAACTAAATGAAAGAGGAGAGGAGAAAAGACAGTAGCAGAGTGCATTCCTTGTAGAAAGGGTAAGTTGGGTTTTGTAAAACTTACTTCTCTATGTGTCCGTGTGTCAGTGCTGGGTTTGATGTATTTTTTACTGTGGGTTTCAGTAAAAAAGAAAGAAAAAAGAAAAGAAAACCACTTTCCTAAGTTAGTTCACAAACTATGGTCTATGGACCATAACCAGCACAAAACCTGTTTGTGTAAATAAAGTTTTATCAGCACAGGGCCACATGCATGTGTTTATGAATCATTTATGGCTGCTTTCACACTATACCATTGGGCAGTGGTGAGCAGTAATGACAGTCTATAGGTCACAACTGAAAATATTTATTATACCTGGCCCTTTACAAAGTTTGCTGACCTAAATGATTCTAATCAGATAGCCATGATTTGGATCACATTATATGAAACAGTGTCCTACATGGTACCACACTTCAGGATCAGACACTGAGTATTTAGCAAACTACAAATGCCTTCATTAGAAAACACCTTTTAAAATATATTACTTAATTTTTTTTTCCAAGTTGGCAGTGTTCTTTTTTCCTTGGGGAAGTGTGACTGAATGTTGTCATTTGTGGAGTTCACTTCTACAGTCATCATGGAAATACTTTCTTTGTTGGAATCTCCTTTTATTGGGGACATAAGCGTATTTATATCAATTTACTTGCTGTTTATTTTACCTTACAAATGCTTTTAAAAGTGGCCCTTTATTTTTCTTTAAGTGTATTTTAAGTGCTTTTATTATCTACATGGGTTCTCACCCCAAAATTGTTTGGTCCAAACCATTGATCCTCAATTAAGAGAAGTATCTGAACTGACAATAAGGACTGTACTGAGCATTTTTATAAGGCTATACAAAAGCCCTGACATGGACTCCAGGGTAATTACCAGCAATTTTGGAGACTCAGAGCACATAAAATTAGTGATGAGAAGGGACCCCCTTTTGTTTTTAGCTGCAGCTTTCTCAGATATGTGTCTGAACATAAGTACATTGTTTGCTTGACCTGGAGTCTGCTGTCAGCTTTCCGTGTGTTGATGTGTGGATATGAAATTTATCCCCTACTGCTGAAGAAATAAGCCAGCTCTTTCTTGGGGAGTCTCAGAGCTTGAGACTCTTCAGTCAGTCCAAGTATAAAGGCTGTTGAGCTATTATTTCAAAGAAGGCGCAATGGTCTAAGGGAAGGAATTACCAGTCTGTACTAATGGGTAACAGCATCATCTGATTGGCAGCCTTCCCCACCCCCCGCCCACCATGGTTGGAGGATACGCAGTGAGTTTGTTTTCTCTGGTTCTAGGGCGTTATGATTGGCACTAGATACAAAGGCAAAGCCAAGAGGTGGGTCAGATTAACCTTTGTGGGCTCCATGATTCTGCTTTCAGCTCCCCACTTTTAAGTGCTGGTCTTTGGATTGCATGTCGTCAGATTTCCCAGTTACCACCCTGGACACCCTCACTGGGCCCCAAGCCCATATTTGGAGATGCTGGGCAGGGAGTTGGCATGCATGCTCTTCTTTTCTTTAAAATGTCTCTCTGACACCCAATTCCCTGGCCAGGGACTTAGTCACTGTGAATTCCCAGGTTAGGGATGAACTAGTCCTTCGGACACGACTGAACTGACTTAGCAGTAGCAGCAACAGGAGTCCTTGGTCATGTGCCAAGGTAGTAACTCAATGGAAAGCTGAACTGGGCCCTCATCTTTCTTCTGAGATCACATCCCTGGGAAAACATGCATTTTTAAGAAGGGATACACCTCAAAAGTACAGTTTTTCAAGTCATATGACCAATGTTGCCATACACAGCACCAGCGTTAGCAAATGTCAGTGTTTTCATCATATTAGCATAGGATTTTTCAGAAGGCAGTAAAATATTATTGACATTGAAGCCCTTGAATGTCCCTCCCTAATTCCATTCATGTGTCTCTCTAGAGGAAAACACACTTCTGATGACTCCCAAGCATGCTAATGTATGTTTGCCTCAATAGTGTATGCAATTTTTTGTAGTTCATCAAACTGTATATAATATTTCTTATTCTCTATGAATCATTATAAACCTTGCTTCTCTTTCTATGACTCGTCCATATAAATATGTATCACCCCAGTTCATTGCTTTTAATTTTCTGAAGACTGTTCCATGGTATAAATACACAAGTTCAGTTCAGTCACTCAGTTGTGTCCAACTCTTTGCAACCCCATGGACTGCAGCACACCAGGCCTCCCTGTCCATCACCAACTCCCAGAGCTTGCTCAAACTCATGTCCATCGAGTCATGAGTGATGCCATCCAACTATCTCATCCTCTGTCACCCCCTTCTCCTCCTGCCCTCAATCTTTCCCAGCATCAAGGTCTTTTCCAATGAGTCAGTTCTTCACATCAGGTGGCCAAAGTATTGGTGCTTCAGCATCAGTCCTTCCAATGAATATTCAGGACTGATTTCCTTTAGGATTGACTGCTTTGATATCCTTGCTGTCCATGAGAGAGTCCCCATTTTCAAGATAATGAATATACATACATATACACATGCATGTATACATGTACACATATACATACATGTATATATACATATACATGTGTATACACACATATGTATCATATGTGCATGTGTGTGTGTGTGTGCATGTATATATATGCATATACCCCCAGTTCTCTTCCTGCCCCTTTGTCATTTATCCTGCCCACCCCTCTGTCACTCATCCTTCAGCATTCACTGATTTGTTTTCTGCCACTGTAGCTAATTAGAAAGAGTTGTTTCTGGAATTCTGTATGAATATACTCATGCAGTATATACTATTTTCTGTCTGGCTTTTTTCACTCATGATTCATGTTGTCACATGGGCTTCCTTGCTGAATAGCATTGTATGGAAATGCCACTAATCATTTCTGTATTCATCTATTGATAGCCATTGGGTCATTTGCAGTCAAGGGCTATTGTTGTTTAGTCATTAAGTTGCATTTGACTCTTTTGCAACCCCATGAACTGTAGCCCACTGGGCTCCTCTGTCCATGGGATTTCCCAGGCAAGAATGCTGGGGTGGGTTGCCGTTTCCTTCTCTAGGGAATCTTCCTAAACAAGGGATCTCCTACATCTCCTACATTGGCAGGTGAATTCTTCACCACTAGTGCCACCTGGGAAGTCATTACCCTTAATATTACCATGAAAATTCATGTCCAAATTTTATATAAACATTCACTTTCATTTTTCTTGGTAAACACCTAAAATGGCTGGATGAAAGGGTACGTGTATATTTAACTACTGAAGAAACTGTCAAACAGTTTTCTAAAATACAGTTTCCATTCTTAGAACTGTGTGTGAGTTACAGTTAATCCACATTCTTACCAGCACTTGGCATAGTCCATCTTTTAAATCCAACCATCCTAAGAGGTAAGTAGTTGTATCTTACTGAGGTTTTACTTTGCATTTCCTTAATGACTTAATGATTTTGATCATCTTTTCATGTGCTTATTTGCCATCCTGATACCTTCTTTAGTAAAGTAGTTATTCAAATCTTTTATCCATTGTGGTGAAGGGGTCATCTATTTCCTTAATCATGAGTTTTAAAAATTTGTTATATATTCCAGATACATGTACTTGGTTAAATAAATCATCTATAAATATTTTTCCTAATGTGTGGTTTGTCTTTACACTCACTTAAGAGTGCCTTGAGAAGTTTTTACTTTTGATAATATAAAATGTATAATTATCTCTTTAGTTTGTAAATATTTCTTTTATGTTTTTGCCATTGTATATAATCTTGGGTCAACCCAAGCTCACCAAGATTTCCTCCTGTTTTCTCTTGTAGAGTCTTCATAATTTTTACATTTAAGTATATCACCCATGTATATTTAATTTTTGTATGTAGTGTGAAGTACAGATCAAGTTACCTATTCTTATGTGTAGAGTCTCCCCCTGTGGAGGCTGAAACGCAGCTTCCAAAACTGCCTTCCAGCTGAGTTTTCTTTGCAACTTCAGTGTAGACATTTTCTCCTCCAAAACTTCTAATTTGTTGTTTTTATATCTATTTTTTCTTATTTCCTATCCTCCTTTTTGTGGTTTCACAACTTTTTGCTCTTCTAAGATAGAAGTTATTCCTCTGTGGATCTCTTTGAACATCTAAATATTTTCCCATCAAATTCCTTTCATCTGAGGTGAGAAAATGTCTTCGTTGATTTTGTTGGGGGTGTTTTAGAAATTCAAGATGTCTTTATATGCTTTGGAATTGTGGTTTGCATTTCAGTTTTCAAAGGGCAGCAGTCATTCATAAGTTTTTTTCCTCCCTCACTCACCTTGCTTAGCCTAGCCTGTCTGTCTTACAGTCGCCCTCACCTCATCCTTGGGGTCCTCATGCAGGAATCTTGTATTATCTCTGCATTGCTGAGGCTCTTGCATTTTGTGTAGGTATCAGAAACAGTAAGTGCAAAGCCAGGCTCCAACCCAACTGACTTGCTCCAGACTCCCAGGCCTGAAGTTTGCCAAAAGCTCTGACCCAAGGTGGAGGCTGGCAAGAAACTTTTGTCAGTCCCTTTCAGTGAGCTGAGAAGCCTTATCTCGTTTGGGGCCCAGCTATGTGTCTCTTTGCTTTTCTCTTTTACTGTGTTCTGGATCACAGACACATTCAGGGCAGAGTGGGTACACCAGAGCATGAAGCCCACGTATCATCATGGCTGGAACTGGGGACACCCTTTCGCTACTTTAATCTAGTTTATGAGAGTAACCCTCATGCTGTGGAGGTAAGGAAGGGAAAGGAGGACGTGCTGGCCAGGAGGTTGTGGTGGAGTCATTGCAGGCTGAATAAGGCCCCCCAAAGATGCCTGCATCCTAATCCCATGAGTTAAAAAAAAATGTGACCTTACATGTTCCTTTACACAGCAGTCTTGGCAAATGTGACTAAATTCCGAGTCTGGAGCTAAAGGAATATTATCCTGGATTATCTGGGTGATCCCAATGTAATTATAAGGGTCCTGATGAGAGAGAACCAGGAGAGTCTGTGCCAGAGAAAAGAGATCTGAGGTGGGAAGTAATGCTCAGAGTGATGTGATGAAGAAACCACCAGCCAAGGAATGCGGGTGGCTCCTATAAGCCAGAAAAGAAATGAATTCCGCTGTACACCTTCAGAAAGAAACAGCACTGCTGAAATAGTGACAGGAGCACAGTTGTGACTGGTTTTAGACTTCTGACCTTCAGAAGGTCAGATAATAAATCTGTGTTGTGTTAAGCCACTAAGTTTGTGGTAATTTGTTTGAGCAGCAATAAGGAAGTAATGTGTATTGAGAGCTGATCCCTGCACATGACCATGTAAGGGCAAACAAACTGCCTTCCATATGCATATTAATAATTAATTACAGTTGTTTTCAGTCTCTCATGTGTCTGAGAACCTGGAAGATGTCAGGTATTAAGAAATATACACATGGTGCCTGATGATGGAAGAGGACACAGATCCAGTACAGATTTCAGACTGACAATATAATTTCTACGTGGGATAAGTAATTGTTTAACACATCTGAGTCCATTCTTGGCCAGGGAATAATTTTTTTAAAAAACTTGTCATTTTGTATAGGAGTATAGCTGATCAACAATGTTGTGATAATTTGAGTTGAACAGCAAAGGGACGGACTCAGCCATACATACACACGTACCCATTCTCCCCCAAACTCCCCTCCCATCCAGGCTGCCATATGACATTGGGCAGAGTTCCCTGTGCTGGACAGTTGGTCCTTGCTGGTTATCCATTTTAAATATAGCAGACTGTATATGTCCATGCCAAGCTATCTCTTCAAGTCAGGGAATAATTTTATATTAATTTGATAATCCACAACTTCAGGACCTATTTGATTTGACCTTAACTTTTGTGATCATCACAATGTACATGTGTAAATGTTTTTCATTCTACATAGACAAAGCAGTCTAAAACATTATACAATGAGAAGTGTCTTTCAAATTTTGTAGAAAACCAAAGAACACAGACATTTGCTTTTGTAATCTCTATATACTACTTAATTCTTGCTGATTGGATTTAATTATACTTATTTCCTTATAGTTATGAGCACTAATAAGAGAAATTCAAGAACTGATTTCATCGTGACCAATCTTTTTTATTTTTAAATATTTACAAAATTGTCTTGAGGGTGGCAGAGAAATGGGATAAAGTGGATCAAAAATTTATCAATACAAATACAACTACTTTAAAAATAGAATAAAGTGATTCTAGCATTATCAACATTTTGAAATTAATTGTTGCAGGTGTGTTCAGGAGACCATCACACAAAGAAAGGGTGGAGCAAAAATTGGCCCGCGAAGGGGCTTTGACCTACATCCTAAAGACTTAAAGAGTACAACCACAGAAAATACAGAAAAGGGAGGCATTCAGTATTTCTTAAGCTATTGGCTTGCATGGGAGTATATTTTCTCCAGGTAGAGAATTTGAAACCTTCTGCCCTAGAAATCGTACCTTTCCTTCTTTGATCTTGGTTCCAATGATTTGTCGTCTTTGCTGAATGATCTCAATAAGAAGATCACATTCCTCCATCAATTTGGCTTCTTGACGTGATGCATTGACCTATGGGATAGATAAAATGGTGAGCATTAATTTAGTGTCTGTTTTCCATTAAATGCTCCCTTTTAAGATGTAGACTAGTAAACTTCTATTAATTGCTGAAAAGATACCTTATTTAAAAATTTTTTGAGGAAAAGTTACTGTACAATCATATATAATTTAGGCATACAATATAGTGAGTCACAATTTTTAAAGGTTATACTCCATGTCTAGTTATTATTAAATACTGGCTATATTCCCTGTGTTATATAATATATCTTTGTAGCTTATCTATTTTATACATAGTAGTTTATACCTCCTGGCTTGGGAAGATCCCCTGGAGAAGGAAATGGCTACCCACTCCAGTATTGTTGCCTGGAGAATACCATGGACAGAGGAGCCTGGCGGGCTATAGTCTACAGGGTCACAAAGATTCCGACACGGGTGAGTAATACACTTTCACAGTTTATACCTCTTAATCCCCTACTACGTCTTCCCTCTCTCCACTGGTAACTACTAGTGCATTCTCTAAATCTGTGATAAAAAGATGTTTTCCATGTTAACTCTTCTAATTATGCAGGGATGGCAAATATAAGACTTACATGTCTACTCTCTACCTTCAATCCTTGGAAAACATTTATTATCCAATGATAGCCATCTCTTTTTGCTAAGCCATGCTCAACCTCAGGATCGTTCTTAACACACCATGTATGTAGCTATTACCAATTAATTGAAAAGTGATATTTGCAATTCCTATTTTTATATTTTGAAGGGAAGTGCAGTTTGAGGCTACTAAACGAAAGTTAAACTAATACTGTTCTTTTATGGAAGATAGATTATGATCAATGTCTTTTGGACACATTTTCCAAAAGCAAGCTAGCAAGGTGGCATCACATTTATTTAACTTGTTGTCTTTTATATACATATGCAAACTTTGTGTTTAGTCACTATGAAAACATCAAAAAGGGAAAGGATGGTTAAAATAAATCTTATGACATAATTTTAAATGTTATCTCTGGAAGTCTGGGGATATACCATGAAAGCCTGCCATTCTGCTGGCAAGGTCGATCATTGTCAAATGGCTTGCATTTGAAGTTTGTAAGGCTCACTGTATGCAAGAAAGGGTTAACATTAGCTCATTCTTGGCAACTGGGCTTCGGAAATACTGTGCACATGCTGTGTCCTCCACCTCATGATGATTCTGAAATGTTATTCATAGAGACCCAAAAACCACAGCTGTGGGAGATGGAGATAGGACAGGCCTGAATTTTATGATTTTAACACAGTACAGGAGAAGTGGCTGTGCTGTTGTTATAAAGAATGCCAACAGACAATTGATGATTCCAGTATAACTCAGGGAGGAGACAGGGCCCAGACATGTAGCCCTTTTGATTGGGCATACTTTATTTAACTAGAGTGATTTCAATCTCTATGAATGAGATAAACTGGAAGTGGGGTCAGGAGTTCTTGTCATTCCTTTTGACTTCACACTGAATGTAATAACTGACAACAACTGAGCTATGCAAAGGATGGCAGTCTATTGAAACCATGGACCCATTATGATGGAGAAAGTGAAATTTGTGGAAAATAGCACCTTACACTTGAAAAATATCTCCTGGCATGACCCCTAAGAGCTAAACTGTATTTGAACATGAACATACAATCAAGGTAAATCTGACCGGAGGCAAGCTCCTTATAGGGATCTTTGGTTGTTGTATGACATGAGGTATCTATTCCAGGCACCTGGAGCCATATTTGACACAGAATAGGCATTCAAAAACTATTTGTCCAATGACTAGATAGTGAAAATGACCTTCCAACAAAAGACAAGGTAACATGTAATCAGGCAAGTAGGTATCCTGGTATACCGCAAGTAGGTAATATGCAGGTATTGAACGTGTTGGTTTCCTAAGGCTGTGTAGACACAGAAGTATGTCTTCATGATTCTTTTTAGCGGGGAGGGTATTTATTTTCCTTATAGCCTTATTGAAATATTCTTTGTATATCATAAAAATCTCCCATTTGAAGTGTACAGTTTGTGGGTTTGAGTGTACTCAGAGTTTTAGAATCATCACAATCTAATTTTAGAAAAATTTCCACATCCCCTAAAGAATTCCATACCGATTTGCAGTAACTCCATATTCTGACTACCTACCCTATTTGAGGGCATAGGTAACCACTAGTCTATGATCTGTCTCTTTATGCATTTGCCTGTTCTCTACATTTCATATAAGTGGAATCAAACAATATATGATCCTTTTTGGTCTGGCTGATTTCACTTAGCATAATGTTTTCAAGATTGCTCTGTGTCATACCATGTGTCAGTACTTCATTCCTTTTTATGCCAAATATTATTACAGAAGTAATACACCACATTTTGTTTATCCATCCTCTAGTAGATGGACATTTGGGTTGCTTCTATTTTTTGGTTACTGAGAAACAGTATCACTGTGAACATTCATGTATAAATTTCTGTGTGCACATATGTATTCATTCTTCTTGAGTATAGAAGAATTGCTGGGTCACACGTCAACTCTGTTTAACTTTTTGAAGAACTGCCAAACTGGTTTCCAAAGGGGCCGCATCATTTTAGATTCCAAGAACAAGTATGTGAGGCTTCCAATTTCTCAACATCCTTGTCAACACTTGACACTGTCTGTCTTTTCTGTTTTATTCATCATAGTGGGTGTGGAGTAGCATCTTATTGTGGTTTTGAGTTGCATTCCCTGATGGCTAAAGATGTTGAGCATCTTTTCATGTGCTTATGGAACATTTGTGTACAGAGTCGTCTCTCTGTACCTCAGAGACGACTATTCAGATCTTTTGTTCTTTTTGTCATTGGGCCATTTACCTTATATAGTTAAATTCTATGATTTCTTTATATATTTTGGGTACACAGTCTCTTATTAGCTATGTGATTAGCAAATGTTTTCTCCCATTCTGTAGGCTGTCTTTTTGTTTTCTTGATGGTGACATTGGAAGCACAGAAGTTTTTAATTTTGATGACATCTAATTGTTCTATTGTCACTTGTGCTTTTGGTATCATAGCTAAGAAACCTAATCCAAGGTTGTGAAGATGTATGACTCTGTTTTCCTCTGCAAGTTTTCTCTCTTACATGTATATCTGTGAGCCATTTTAAAATAAGTTTTATGTATGGTGAGAAATAGGGATCTGATTTTATCCTTTTATTTATGGATATCCAGTTGCTAAAGCAGAAAAGACAATTCTTTCCTCCATTGCAGTATCTTAGTACCTGGTCAAAAAATCAATTGGCTATACTGTGAGGTCCTCAGGTTTTGACATTACTGCTAACATATTCTCTGCTTAAAGATTTTTTTCTAGTTTTGACTAAACCTAGTGAGACCATGCTAGTCCCTCTCAAGCAGGTACCATGAAGTGTGATATGGAATACGAGCTCTTCTCACAGGATGATTTTGAGAAAGTGAAGGAGTATCTGTTTCTAAGTTTCTGTATGTTGTAAATGAGGTGAATATTGCCTGAGTAGGATCATTGTAGTAAATACAATACCACAATATATGAGGAATCATATATGAGGAAATAAGTTAGTTTATGAAGCCATAGACACATGTGAGGTAGTACTGTCTGCATGGAGAAGCAGTTTCGGTAAGAGACTATGATACAGTTTGTGATCTACGTCACTCTCCAAATCATTGCAATTTGGGCTACTCTATGGCAGGAAAAGTGTGAAGTTTCCAAATTTTTATAAGACTGCCAATCTTCCATTCCAATAGGTACAATAAAGTGAGTTGAACGCTATCCTATATTTCTAAACTCTTTCCACTACAAAGAAGTTTTCCACAGCAGTGCAGTTTGATGTGTTACTTCAAAAATGCTAAGGATTTGATTGGACTTCATTTTTATATAGGCTATTAAATCAAATATGGCCGGGTGTATGGGTTGCCTGCAGTGTGTGCAGGTGTTTCTAGATCTTGGTTTTGGTTTGGAAGTTGGCCGCTCCTGGTTATGATTTTACCTTTTATGTCTGCTTCTGAAACCTGTGCAACATCACAGGAAAAGAAATGCAAATCAAAACCACAATGAGATACCACCTCAAAGGGGTAAGAATGGCCATCAACAAAAAATCTACACAAAATATTATTGGCAGGCATGTCAACTGGGACAGACTCTTGCATAAATAAAGCACTGTCAAGAAAATAAAGTACTTATTAGTAAATTGGGGTTCAACTGAATTAAATTGGAGGAGAAATAAAAAGTCTTTGAAATCAACTTGTGCTACTGCAGAGAGGCAATCAGAACACTTGATTATGGAAACTCTCCTTAGCTCTCTTTAGAACACTATGTGTCAGAGTAGGTAAGTAACTAAGTCTCCTTAGAACACTATGTGTCAAACTAAGTACTCTCCTTAGCTCTATTAGAATACTCTGTGTCAGAGAAAGTAAGTCAGTCTGCTAAGCTCTCCTTAACACATTATGTGTCAGAGTAACTAGGTCTCCTTTGAAGCCTATATGTGTCAGAGTAACTAAGTCTCCTTGGCTCTACTTAGAACACTATGTGTCAGAGTCTGTAAGTCTCCTTAGCTCTCCTTAGAACATTATGAGTCAGAGTAACTAAGTAGTAAGTAAGTCTCCTTAGCACATTATGTGTCAGTGTAAGTAAGTAAGTCTCTGTAGCTCTGCTTTGCTCTCCTTACTTCTCCTTAGAATACTATGTGTCAGAGTAAGCAAGTAAGTAAATAAGTAAGTCTGCTTACCTCTCCTTAGCACATAATATGTGTCAGAGTAAGAAGTCTCCTTAGCTCCCCTTAGCACACAATACGTGTCAGAGAAACCAAGTTCTTAACTTTCCTTAGAACACTCTATGTGTCAGAGTAAGTAAGTAACTAAGTAAGTCTCCTTAGTTTTCCTTAGCACACTATGTGTCAGAGAAAGTAAGTCTGCTTAGCTCTCCTGAGAACACTATGTGTCAGAGTAAGTAAGTAACTAAGTAAGTCTCCTTAGTTTTCCTTAGCACACTATGTGTCAGAGAAAGTAAGTCTGCTTAG